TAATGACCTCAGCACAGCTTTGAAGACTTGGATTGTTACTTAACTTTTCTTCCGTCTAAATTACAATTAATTTCTTGAAATATGTTTTTAAAAAGTAGCTTTTAGTCAACAAACCGACATTTTTTTTTAGATTGAAGTTTCTCCCTGATCCGGTGCAAATACCCTTTGTTTTAAAAAAAAAAAAAAAGAAGAAGAAGGTTGAATTAAGTTTTTGTGTGCGTGCTTGTAGATCGGCTTGCTCCGTCTCTAGTCAGATGGCAGGATTGGAGGGAAACTAAAAGCTAACTGGAATCACTTGATTGGAACACTGCAGCCTCTGTAAACATCAGGCCTGGTCTAACGATCGAACGTCACTAATACAAAGCACGTACAGTCCACCCAGATTTCCTCATGGTATAAGTAAACACATTTTAATTGGAGTTAAGTGAGGTTGACATGTATTTCCAGTGTATGTAGAAATACATGTAGATTTAAGACTTCTTCAGTGCACATGGCTGCTGCCTTAATGCCCAGACAGTCTTACTACTGTAGCCGGAGTTCTGAAGCTGGAATATGCAACACATTTTTGACAGTATTAGACAAAAGAAATTCATAATAACCTTTAAGCATGTTGTAATTGGAGTGATCTGAGAGTGAAGTGGACTCCTGGACTCTCAGGATTTAGAAAATATAGCTTGGAATGGGAGACTTCACCAGATCGCATCATAGCTGTGTAGACAGAGTCTGTGCAGTGGTGCGTGGGTTAAGCAGAGGACTTTAACTTGGGAGTGTGAGGTGTTTCCACAGATTTAGGGCACTGTGGCAATGGGGCTATTCCTTCTTAAATAAATTATGTAATTATTTTTCCCCTGCAAAGAAGTTATTTGCCAAGTACTTTGTGACTGAACAAATAAAGGATCCTAGACAGTAGCTGGAGTGGCCCTCCAGATGAGGACAATGACTATCGTTGCCATTTGCAGTGCAGTATGGTGGAGTGCAGTTTGGGACAAGACACTGAAGCAGCTGAATGATAGAGAAGACCACCAGGGCACTGACTTGCTGGGACTGAACTTTTAAAAACTTTAAAAAGAAGTGAAATTTAAAAATGCTAAAATTAGTTGCCAAATAGTCCTGGGTGACTCGCCCATGTAGAGTCCGTGCGAACAACACCGGTGTTGAAGACTATAATACTCTGCATACTCATGTGCTCTGAGTTAAAGACCTACAAAGCAGGATCTCCTTTGGTATGCCTAAATGATGACTGTGATGAACAAGCATGCATGCAAACACATCCTGAGGCACATAGCCCTCGTCTGAGTGCAACAGGACGAAGCATCTAGGGAGTTTCCATGCACTTAAAGGCAGCATGCCTTTAGCTTAGTGTTTGTTTTTGTTAGATGCATTGCTCTCTATAGCAGGCAGGGTGATCGGGCTTGATTTTACTCTATACCAATGAGGAATTTCCTGAATAAGTACACACTGCACACAAAACATTTCACCCAAGTTAAACAGACCCAGTCCTCCCACTAGTGAAATCTTACCAGAATCCAACTGCATCTGTGCAGCTGTGTCAATTCTCATAACTAACTTGCATGCAGTCGGGTCACTTTTTATCTATATAGCACATTTAAAAACAGAGGCTGACCAAACGTGGAAAGTTGGTGCAAAAATATAAATGCAAAGCATAAAACCCACAAAAGGGAAAAACAAACCATGACAGAGAGGAACCTCGCCTCCAGGTTTTAGGTGAAGGGGGAGGCAAGAGGTTTTATTTATTTATTTATTTTTTAAGGCTGATCAAAAGTCAATTAAACCTAAACACATCCATGTGTTTGTTTCATAACTGATGAAGTCCAGCATGTGTAGCTTACCTTCTGTTCCTGTTTCAGTTACCTTCTATTTTGTGTTTGTGACATCGTGCCTCCAATAAAAACTGGCCCGTCTGCTGAACGAGACGTCCTGATCAAACAAATATTTAACCGTCTGCGTTTCTTAGGCTTGGCTACTGTTTCTAGTTTGAATGTTTTTCTGTAGGCACAAGTGAAACTTGAAAGTGGGCTGTATTGACTGATATGCTGCATATTACTATAAGTGTTCTGACACCCCGCACTGCCACACTGCCCTCTGCTGACGCCTGTGGTCTGCCCCCCTTCACTCCCTGCTCCTATACAGTAAAACATCCTCCTGTTCACAGCTTCGCTCTCTTCCTTGTACAAACAGCTCTTGTCGGAGCCTCATTAAAACACTCTGGTTGCAAAGTCGTAAAAGAAAAGCATCACACTGGTCTCGTTGTCACCAGTGTGTCATCTCGCTCCAGAAATAGTTACCGTCACGTACATATTTGCAGTCCTGCAAATCCCACTGAAGTGACTGAACAGACTGCCACGCTGCGCTGAAGAGACAACAGTGTGGGTACACAACTTGTAATTCCTGATGACCCATTGACCAGTATGACACTGCTTGTTTTCCAGTGTTTGATTTGAAAATAGATCAGTCATGGTGGAAGCGTCAAAGACATCAGACCCGGGTCTCATTGAAGGAGCTGACATTTATTAGCCATTCTGAAATTAGATGCATTCAAGAGCAGATTTTATTGTTGTTCTTGTTTTTGTTTACAACATTTTATTTAGTTATTCATCCTGATGTGGTTGCAGTGACAGACGGGGTAATATTGCACGGAGGGTATGGACTGTGTGTGTAGACTGGATTCATCTGGTAACTTAGGTAATGTGAGGTAAATGCACGAGACCTGTTGATGCGTGTGTTCCAATTATTCAAAATAAACACTGAGACCAATGCAAATTCCAGGAGTTTGCTGGGAGTAATGGCAAAACAGGAGGGCGTTGGAGTGTTGGCACTTACGCTCTCCTTATTGATCAAATTCTGGGTAACAAGTGTGCAGAAAAAAGCTCCCTGTAACCAGTAGTCGTAGTGTCGTGTCCCTCCAGGAGCTTAAAAACTCTGGTTCAAGTGTGGGGGTTCTAACACCACCCTGAGGGGTTTTTCATCTTTAAGTTTTTCCTGTTCTGCCCAGTAAGGTTTCCTCCTCCCCTCCCAGAGGCTGGTTCCCACCTGGCTCCTGCACATGGTTACCTGTTCACATGATCACCTCTCAGCTCCTGTTTCTCGTTTCTGCCATTTGATCCCTCTCACCTGCTCCTCAATGAGCCAACGCCCACTCTCTGTTTATTTTCTCTGTTTATGTTCTCCTCCCATTTCACTCGCCATCAGGTGGGGAACTTCCAATCAGAATTTTGGAAAGTACCGGCGAGCCCGTCATTGCGCTGCCAGCAAAAGACGAGCCAAATTTTTGGGGTATAAATGCCTTTTAACCCCTGCCAAACGAAACGCATCGCTAGTTATCAGGAAATGTCTGTCATTGAGGAAACCAGTGGAGCTGAACACAAGCTTAAACACAGGCTTTCTCTCGGGATGTTTGTTTTTACCCTTATGTCAGACAAAATCCTCATACTACACATGAAAGAAGATTTGGCGCTATCTGATTTATTTCATATTTATGCAAAGGTTCAGAAGCTGTAGCGTAAGCAGGTCTTTAAAAATCTTTAATCCACAGTGGAGGAGGAAGAGCTTAGAAATTGTTTGGATTTTTCAGTTTAGTAAACGAATCATTGGTGATTGAAACACAAAAGTTGTTTTCAGCAGAAGATGCTGCTGATGGCTTGAGGTTTAATTTGAATTAAGGTCGAGGCTCCAAGCTTGCGGACGTGAGGGCACTCTATGTTCAGAAAAACAACCCGAAGAATAACTTTATACAAATTCCTTTTCCAGAATGCTTTAGTCTGCAAGTTCCTGAAGGCTGTTCCTCCCTGTCCGAGCAGTCGATGGGACTGTTGACAGGGTGGACAGTGGATCCTCTGTGGGCCGTACAATCCGGGTCTGATTGAGGGGTTAATAACTGCATAGTTCTGTCCTGTTACTCTTGCTGCTCCTCGCCAGCTTGTCTTGTCTGTCCATCTGAGCAGCAGATGACACGCACACAGTGCGGCTGGCGGAGGAATGTTTCTGAACGCTCGCCTCTCCAACAACCAGGCTCTTGTGAAAGCACTTGGCACGGCCACAGCCGCAGCACTCTTCCCAGCTCTGCGAACGAAAGCCACTTTGTTTGGCTGCCGTTGCCATGGTGTGGAGGAATTTTTTATTTTTATTTTTTGGGAGAATATAAGGATGGATTTTAATCCCCCCCCCCCTTTTTTAAACCAGTTGTTTAGATGCTGCCCTCTTTTGCACATAAAGGATGTTTCATGTTGAATTTATGGTTGTGCAGAGAGGAATGTCAACAACACTTGAGAAACACAACTGAAATCGTTTGTAGGACTTTTGACCAAAACAATGAACTAATTTATCTAATAGGTGTTTGTTGGAGTCATTTACTTATCTTGTGTGTCAATTTTTGTGCCACAAAAACACTAATCTGCTTATCTTTTGTTTTGTATCACCACACAGGGTTTTCCTTTCTCATAATGTGCCTTTGTGGGGGTATAGTTAAATTAAAGAGTCTGCGTTACCTTATTTTACAGAAGTTTCTGCATTTTCCTGTAATTTGATAATAATAACAAAAACTGGTTGGAAAATATTTTTATTACCGTCCTTCAGGGAAGGTTAACACTTCCTTGAAGAGAGGCAGTATTATTTTTGGGATTGCTGCCAGACCTTCGACCTTGTTTCAAGTTTGCTGTTGATATAATCAGTAGAATTAATCAATAAGGAAAGGAATCATTAATTGCGCCCTGTAATCATAACTAAATTGTGGATATGCCTGAGGCTGCATGTGGACCATCATCAGCTCTTAATTTTATGTGAGATCGCATTGCTCTTACTACTCCTGGTCTAAAAAGGAACATTAATAAAGCTGAAACAACTAGTACATCAGTTAATCCAGGGACTGAAATCATGAGATTTTTTTTGATCATTAATTCTCAAATGCTATCATCCTGCTGCTTGTGCATTGAGCCTGATTGAAAGAGTTATTCTGACTAATGTTGTTTAATGTGTGTTTACAGCCTTTCTTCAGACTACTGAACCTCCGGAAACTCGGCCTGAGCGACAATGAGATCCAGAGACTCCCGCCTGAGGTGGCTAACTTCATGCAACTGGTGGAACTGGACATCTCCAGGAACGGTACAAGCTCACTGTGAACCATCTGTCATAACTCTCATAAAACCACCCTTTGACACATTTTTTTTAAAAGTATGTCCTCATATGGGGATAGTGACTTTAGTTTACAGCATAAAACAATAAAGTCACCATTGTTTAGCAAAGTTTAGAAAACATTATAAAGTAAAAGGACTCAGGAGGACATAACCAGTGTCTTGATCGCCCAGGACCAGTAAGAACTGCATATTGGGCAAGTTCATTGGCCAACTTTGTAATGAAGTTTCCACCAGTGACAGTTGTGTTCACCCGTGAAACCCCTCTCTAACAAACATTTATCTTTTTATGCTGCCACCCACTTATTTTCACATTAAATGAAGTGACTTTGACTTTAAAGGTCTAAATCTGATGGTTTTAAACAACTAAACTCATCTTCATATCAATGGGACTGACAGTTTTTACCCGTCACTGAATGTAGCTTCCAGAGTATGACACGACGTGTGCTCTTTATACATGCAGAAAGTACTGATGCAGGGGTCACATTGGCTTCAGTTAAGTTAAGCTTTATGTTATAAAATTGGGGTCAGGGTGTATGAGGTTAGTGAAATAAAGCGGTTAGTCTTATTGGGGTTGAAAGACAACATGAAGCCAACGCTGTACATGGCCAGACAGCACAAGCGCTTCATTCGCAACTAAAAATCGATGCATGACGACGGTAAAACGTACCACAAGTATGTGTAGAAATAAAAAGAATACAAGGTTAAAGCCCAGAAACATCTATTTTTCATATCAGCGGTCCAGCCTCGTGCCGAAGCCTCGTTTCTCTGACACACACAGTGAGCTGTGAGGAGCTGCCTCTGTGCCTGAGACGGCGAACCCAGGTGAAGTCAAAGAAAACACTTTTCTAGACTTCACAGCAGCAGCCCTTGTTACTCTAATCATAATAATCATAATAAAACCAGTGAGGGTAAAAAGCCAGTAGTAGCACTTTATCAAATCACCTGTTCCACAAGGTTAGACATGAAGCTTCAGCTTCTCCCATAAACCATCACTTTATTTAACACCATGATGAAGATTTTAGAAATGAAACCTGCCTGTATGCAGATTAATTGCTGGAGTAGTTTTCTATGATCTTTATATTTGCATTTTACATCTTTAAGTTTGCTTCAGGTTGACAGCAGTCTTTCGTTGTCACTGCAATACCTGCAGCATGCAGTGGAAACAAATTTTTGCACCCCAGTGTAAGGAGAGCACGGTCAGATCAGTTAAATATTAGCTAGCCCTCTGTGCCAGATTCAGATAGCCATCTATAAATGTACGCCTAAATGACAAAACCATCCAAATCAAACTGCTGATTCTGCCCTCGGTCAGAAAGGTAAGGTGAAACCCACGTCTGAGTTTGCCCAGCGATATTATTTTCTGCTGTAATGCGCACAAATATCTTGCCCTTTCCACGTCCTTGAATACTTCACATACACAAACGCCGTGGTAGTGGCAGAAAGGTCTCTGTGTTAGATAGGAGACATCTGCCCTGCTACACACTGCATCAAGTGCTGGGGGAGGCAGTGTGCAGTGGCCTGTGAGGGCCTTTCCCATCTGTCTGCCTGTCTGCTTCCCCACTCCTGCTGCAGGACAGTGCTGAGCCAGATAAATGTGATTGGCTGCTTGGCTCTGTAGGGATTTCTGAGTGTGCACCTGCAGCATCCAGTAGTGAAAATACACTTTGCAATGATGCCACTAGGTCATATTTCCTCCCCTGCCTTTTTATATGTGCACTAGACTAAGCAACCAAGAGTAAAGTAAACATTTAAGCTGTTTGGCACTGTACAAACTATTTTGCTACCTCTTAATATCAAGGTAAGGTGGCGTCGTTGACCTGCCTTCTGGAAGGGACTAATTTCAGCAGGGCTGTGACGTACTCTCAGGGTGCCAGGCAACTACAGTGTCCAGGAGATGAGACTTTCTGCTCGTCCCATGTAAAGTTTTAATCATTGGCCCCAAAATTAATATGATTATATACTTCTAACTTAGTTTATAATATCACAGCATAGTTATTAGTAGACTTATATTTTAGCTTACGACAACAAATCTGCAAAAGGTTTAGTAACTGAAACCTTAAAACAACTATTGATGGAGTCTTGCTGCAGGTATCGACAGAGGTGGTCAGCTGTGTAAGACCTCGGGTGGATGGGAGCAGGTGAACGGCTCGCTTTCATTCACATTTAAACTGTGAAGAGTCGGTTTGATGACTCATAACTGAACAGCCAGTTTGCTACACACGTCGACTCCGAAGGTGGACATGCTCTGTGTTGGTATGAAACATGTCATGCTTTTTGGCATCTGTTGAACATAGTATTTACACGAAGAAGCATTGTTTTAATCATAAAACTACTATTATTTACTCATTTTTTTCACTTTTTGCCTAATCCCTTAGATCTATAATACCTTAGGTCTATATACAGCAATAGCAGCGTGCACACCATCTGGCTGCAACTTTATTTTATATAATTTTGTCTGTCTTTAATTCCTTCTTTATCTTTAGCCATGAATTTTACTAGAGAGACGGGCTGCAATCAAGTCCCACCTACCCACCCACACCCCAGGGGAAAAAGTTTGTGGCTTTCCACTGACTGTATTGTACTAAACATAGGCTACTAAAATAATCCTCTGACTTAATGTTTTCAGTCAGCTTAAGGCGTTTTGTTAGTGTTTCAGCCCATAGTTGCATGTTGATTGTTTTCCCTTGTTGGGGGTGTGGTTTTCATAGTATTACACAATGCTCTCTGTCTTTATACTCAGGAAATGTAATGCAGTTAGATTCAGATGTATGTATCAAATGTAACTGATGTGGCCATGCACAGTCAGTTGCCTTCTTCAGAGCTGGTGTGTTTGGACAGATAAAATGAAAGAAAGAGTCAGTCTGCGATTAAATGGGACCAACTCGGCAGTTACATGTAAATTGTTCAATATGGCGAGTAAGTGTAATAAACTGGTGAAAACTGCAAATCTGTTGCTCTCTGCACACACAAAAACTCATAGTTACGTCTTACAGTCTTGCCAGAATCTCATAGGTTTGAAACTAATTCAAAAAAGGCACCCGGCAGTCTTGTTTTTATATAGGAATATAATAAGAATACACCAGTTTCAATCAGCTGACCAAAGTCTCAATCACACAGAGATGTCCCAGACAAGTTGCACTGATTGGCGGAGACTGGCTCGGATTGATTACACCACGCTGCTGACCTGTCTGCGTTTATGAATTAGACAAAAATCATTTGCAAACCCTCAGCGATCTATGAGTGATTGCAGTTAGTCTGAAGACAATCGCAAACACCTGTGTATCAAAAGTGTTCGCCCAGAATCTGCTCGTGGGTGTCGCACACTCAACCTGTGGGCAACCAGTTGGTCACCGCAACCTCCTTAGACACAATCTCAAACGTTAAATGCAGTCTTTTTTTACTGCATTTTTACCCTAGCCACAAAGAGGTCTTTTAGTGTGACTGAACCATAACTGATATGGTATCGTGTGCTCACCTTAGTTTTAATTTATGTTCATTTGGTTATTTTTGCCACCATAAGAAGTGTTTGTGATTTTCTTGAGACTGAGATCTCTGTGTAAACATAAGTCACTTGCTTTGAAAAGGTGTTTCCTTTGACAAGTGCTTATTATATCAAAATCATAAAAACTTTAATAAAAGAATAAAGGCTAAATATTAAGCAATAAAACATGACTAAAAACTGAAACAAGCAAATGTAGTTTTGAAACCTAATGAAACTAAATTGAATTGAAAAAAGGAACATGAAAACAAAATGCTAATGTAAATATTAAAATTATACCACACTATTAGAACTGGCACTGATATCAGCCCTGTTGAATGAGCTGGTTAAATTAATTTTGTACTAAATTTTCAAAGCTCATGCGATGAAGAGCTGCAAGACTTTGAAAAAGGATAGATATTATTTCATAATGAATAATTATTTGGTTCCTGACTCTAAATGGTCATTAATAAGAACAAAAATCACGTGAATTAGCTGAAACACATATGTGCATGTGTCTTTAATCACCACTATTGGCCTAGGTCTTCACAATCAGTGCATCCCTGAGAAAATCAAGATGTACTGCTACACTTTGACCTCTGCAAAAAAAAAAAAAAAACGTCTCATTTTTCTCTCATTTTCTTTTCTCTGACTTCTCTGCTCTTTGGCATCTGGTTGTGGTTATGAGGAACTTTTTAAAATCATTCGCTCTATAGCATCAGCTCGCTTCACGATCCACATCTGTGCATCCACAACGCTGACTCCTCCTCCTCCTTCTCTTTTTCTCCTGCAGATATTTCTGAGATCCCAGAGAGCATTAAGTTTTGCAGGGCCTTGGAGATTGCAGACTTCAGTGGAAACCCCCTCTCCAGGTAAGTGCATTTCAACAGCCCATTATTTTTTATGATCAGTGTGGGAAAATATAAGAACGGGGTATTCCCAGATACAGTAACGAGAGCAGAGTTGTGGGGGCAACACTGGTTTGACTGACAAAATGAAGCGTGAGTGTCATTTTCTTTGCTCTAATTACTTTGCTAAGTGTGCAGTGAACTGAACTTTTAAATATTGTAGTTGTTCGTGTGTGTGCATGTAAACAGTATATCGAGTTTGTGGAGTGTGACCCTCGTTTCACTGCTAAGTAAGGATTAGGAACAGTAAATGAACACATGTCTGGAGCTGATCATTGTTTTGCGTGCTTACTACCGCTTGGCTTAACCAGGATACCAGTTAATTCCCATTATAGCCCCGTTCACCTTCATCATCTTCTTACCCCCTGTCATCAATATCTCTCCGCTCCTACTATGGAAAAGTGATTGAACAGCTGGCAGAAACTTTGATCCTGATTTCTTTAACAGATGTGGAGGGCTAGTAGTCAGTGTGTGAGTTGGCTGTTGCCATTAAAATCTAACAGACACCATTTTCCTCTCTCTCTCTGCCTCAGATTGCCGGATGGTTTCACTCAACTCCGAGCGCTCGCTCACCTGGCCCTCAATGATGTGTCATTACAGATGTTGCCCAACGACATTGGAAAGTATGTACACGCTCATTATGGCTCATAGAAGACAATCTGATAAGTTAAAAGGATTGTTTTTGTTTATTTTTTCAGTTTTTCCTCTTGGTTAGATTAAGAAAAAAAAATAAAAGCAACACTGACGCAAGTGGGAGCATTGGCTATCTTTTATCTCATTGTAAATGAAAAACCTTGCTCCTGGTCTGGGACGTCGTGAAAGGCCCCTTTGTCCTCTTTCCAGCACTGTGCCGATGCCGGTGCCTAATCTAGAGCCAGGTTCATTCCTTTTTTACTGAAGAACAACCGGTGCCAACAAGCTGGTAGTTGGCAAAGCACAAAAAAACTCATGAATGGAAAGTTGGAACCACAGATCAGGGTATTTCTTGGCTTAAAATTGGCTTTTGGGAATGAGGGGTGGCTGTGAATGTATGCATGATTGGTTGCGCCAATAGTTGACAGTGAGTGCTGTGTTACTGTACTTCATGTAAGTGCGCATTTTTCTGCCATTGCTGGTTATTAGATGAAGAAAAATTAATTTTATGCAAAAAAAATGAAACCAAACTTAAAAGATCACAATAGTTATAGTATTATTACAAGCCTGGAGAGACTAAACTAAATTGAAACCAAAGCCAAATATTTCCTTATTTTGTGCCAAAAGCAGAGGGTGCAGCAGTCGCTGTGCACACTTTAGTGACAATTCACAGGCCTAAGATTGAGAACCTAAGTGCTTAAAGGTTGCAAAAAGGGGCAACTGTAACCTGTGGCCACTGAGATTTACAGATGTACACAAATAAAGCGAGCGTGCAGGTTCTCGAGGAGTACCGATGTGCTCTGAGGAGGCTGCGGGCCACTGCTGTTCTCAGACAGATGGAAGAGTCCCTCACCACGCCTGGCAGCCCAGACGAACAGACCCGCCATCTGACTAACCAGCCTGCCTCTCCTCTCCCTTCTTTTCCTCCCCCATCCTTTATTCTCTTCACCTGCCAACTCCTGCCCCTCATATTTTTTGTTTCTCTTCATTTATGTGCCTCGTGTTCTCTGCCATTCCTGCTTTTGTAGTTTGGCCAACCTGGTGACGTTGGAGCTCAGGGAGAACCTGTTGAAGTCTCTGCCCACGTAAGTTTTTCATCTCTGCTCATACCACACATACATATTTCACTCTCCGCATTTTTCATTGGGGTGTTTTGTCACTGCTACTTTTACCTGTCAATTACTGTAGACGTTTCGGGAAAGGCACACACCACGAGTTACTTGTAACAGCAGGTTTATGAACGTACATTACTACATGTGAATGAATGGTATGCTGTTATCAGTTGGAGCCGGAGCTCTTTGTTCTTTGAGTGCACATATTTGTGTGACGTAACCGGTTGTGCTTTGATACAGGTCGCTCTCTTTCCTGGTGAAACTGGAACAGCTGGACCTGGGCAGCAATGAACTGGAAGTTTTGGTAAGTCAGCGTCTCATCCCCTTAAATGATCATCATCGTGCTCAGACAACACCCTTGATTGTGTCTTAAAATAATATTTTTCATTTTCGCACAACCAGTAGAGCAGACATACACACACGCACACACTCTCAAATTGACACGTATCACAAATATCCCTCTCACAGTCCCACCACAGTAATTATGATCCAGACCACATGTTTACTTCACCAAACGCAGCCCAGCCAGTCTGAAAGAAGCGAAGCCCTGCCTGCACTACCCCAGAGTGAGTGCCGGTTTTAGCCCGGGAACACCCACCTGTCTGTGTAGGACAGAGCAAACAATGTCTCATGTCCTGACGAGGGCGGAGGCTGAACAAACAGTTGACATCATGATGAAACCTTGCCTGCATGCCTGTCATAGACCATCGCTCAGCCAGCTTACATGCTAATTAATTATTCCATATTTTAAATTTGAGCTCATTTCAAGATCCTTCAGTTGACTTTTTTTCCTAAAATCAGAATCTGATTTACCAACATTAGATTAAGAAATCAGAGTCAGACTAGAAGTCTCTGAAAGTCCTGAAGTTTCTGTTTCAGTACACTAATACACGGGAAAGATCATATGCATATTTAAAGGAGAGCTTTTGTGCTGATTCTTGTACTCACCTGTCATACTTGAATGGTTCAATCCGTATTTATCTTATGTTGGATTTTTGTGCAGCCCCTGTGCATCTATGAGATCTGAGGTTTACTTGTACATTTACTGACCTCATTATTACCATTGTAAAATTACATACTTGATATAAACCAAGGAACAGCATAATGGGGTCACCTTTAATTTTTATTTAGCTTCTGTTTCAAAGTTTGAATTGTCCTCTACAGGTTTGTGGGGATTGTTGCCTGAAGTATCAAAGGTATATTTTTCCAACTCGGGAAAAGTGTAGAGTTGGAGATTTGAAGTAATTTTACTGGTGTAGCTGGTGAAAACAGAAGTAAAGGCAAAGCTGAAGCAGTACTTTAGCTAATTGAGCCTACCGGTTAAATACCCTCAACCATATCCAAGGGCTGTGGGTGGATTCCTCTGAAGGGTTTCTGGGCTTACTTACCCTTAGGGATAAGTCTTTAGGAGAGACTCGGAGTAGAGCCTTTACTCTTCTGTATCCAAAGCAGCCAGTTGAGGTGTTACAAACATCTGACTGGGATGTCTTCTGGAAGTTGATAAGGCACTTTTGGGTACATCTGACTGGGAGGAGACCAGATTATGCTTCTTAGCTGTCTTGGGAACACCTCACCATTCCCCAGGGAGAACTGGAGGAGGTGCCTGGCGAGAGGGAGGTTTATGGGAATGTTTTTTATACGATTGCCCATGTGACGTGGACAACACGGGACAACAGAACTTCTTGAGCTAGTGAACTTTTTTGACAACCTGCCAGATGGCCAGGACTCAAGTGAAGTGCAAAAATGACCAAATAAAACAAAAGTGATGAGTGACAAGAAGAAGACGGCACTGTGGTGCGTGCGTGTTTGCGTGTGTGTGTGTGTGTGCGTGTGTGTGCGTGTGTGTGTGTGTGTGTGTGTGTGTGTGTGTTTGTGTGTGTGTGTGTGTGTGTGTGTGTGTGTGTTTCAGCTTCAAGCATCTGAAGCGGTCTGTGGCATAACTGAGGCTGACATCAGATCTTTCTGTAACAGTCATCCACAGATGTCACATGATTTGTCTTTTCCAAATTCTCAGCCCCTCTAACAGATTTCAAATGAAGCACGATCTGCACAACGTGCCGTTTTAACACAAATTAGATTTTACATAAAAATATTGCCACTGACTCTCTTTTCTCCCCTACTTTCCTTTAGCCGGATACCCTCGGCGCTCTCCCCAACCTAAGGGAGCTGTGGCTGGACCGTAACCAATTGTCCTCATTACCACCAGTAAGTACAGCTTTTTCGTTTTTTTGTTTGTTTGTTTAAATGTCCTGATTTTCACGAAGTTCCAAACTGTTGCTTTCATGCAGAATTTACTCCCACTAGCAGTTTTCTTCTTTTTGTGTTTGCTGGATTGTATTGTGTCTCTATAGCTCACTGTAAGTGGTAATTTATGTGTGTGTGTGTGTAGGAGCTGGGAAACCTTCGTAGGTTGGTGTGTCTGGATGTGTCGGAGAATCGTCTGGAGGAGCTCCCGTCAGAGCTGAATGGCCTCCTGGCTCTCACAGACCTGCTGCTCACACAGAACCTGCTGGAGGTCGTCCCGGACAGCATAGGTGAGAAACACCAGGGGAAGGGACAGGCTTGTTTTCTGTGTTGGTGTTGGTGTTTATTACCTTTGTTTTGTAACTAACTCAGTAATTCAATAATAATTCAATAATGTTCTTCCTGTAAACTGTGTGTTATCTTGTCAGTGAAAGTTTTTGCACCTAATCATGAAGCCATATTAAGTATACACTGGGATATGGCTCTAGTGTGATCTTAAACAAGAACAGCACTGCCCCCTACTGGAAAAATAATGCCAATGAAGCACAGAAATGTGTTTAATTGCAAGGACTAATTAGATTAACATATTTTACAGTATGTTGTCCGTGAGTCTTGCAAACTCACGTCTACATATTGCAGCTTAGATGGTGCATCATAAATAAGCTGTAATGTGGGCTGAGTCTGTGCTTCTGCTGTTCCTTCTTCTTTGCCCTTGCTGTGGAAAGAATACAAATAATTTCTTAGTAGTGAAGTAAAACAGATTTTAAGAATCGTGAGAACTGCCCACTGCAGCCTCTGTCTTTGTTTTTCATTTACGCTTTTCTGCATAAAACTCTTGCTCAAAATCACACACATCCACACACAGATATATTAAGAAACACGTATGTGATCTGAATGAAAAATAGTGCAGCCCAGTAGTGAAGTGTACGATGTTGTGTATTGCTAAATGTTACCGTGATTTGTCTGCAGGGTCTCTGAAACAGCTGTCCATCCTGAAGGTGGACCAGAACAGACTGACCCATCTGACTGATTCAATAGGCGAGTGTGAAAACCTCACAGAACTTGTCCTGACGGAGAACCTGCTACAGGTAGGGACGCACAGTATAAACGGCTTCCTGCAGCCCTGCATTTGACCTATTAGGGGTTCATGCACACCCATTAATAACTAAGTCCCATTAACAATAATTATGTTGAATCACTGATTCCATTAATGACTTTCGTCTCACTCCCTTTCGCTTTCAAAGTCGCTTCCTCGCTCGCTGGGCAAGCTGAAGAAGCTGACCAACCTGAATGTAGACCGCAACCGGCTGGGCAGCGTGCCCAAAGAGCTGGGCGGCTGTGCCAGCCTCAACGTCCTCTCACTGAGAGACAATCGCCTGGGCAAACTGCCTGCTGAGCTTGCAGATGCCACGGAGCTGCATGTGCTGGATGTGGCTGGAAACAGGTACCCTTACTTAACACCGTAGACCGTTAATAATGCACAGCAGCTTTCACAGCAAAGATTGAAGACCTGAAGAGAATGTCTTTGCCAAAATAGATAAAACAAAGACGTTGCACCGACACTTTTGCCCTTGTAGTTCGTAATTTCATCACAGGTATGACTTTATGCAAATTGTTTGTTACTGGAATGATCTGAAGCATAATTATCGCTGTCAAAGTGTTATTTCAGAGACTTTTATTCTTACATTCTCCTACAGTCTCTTTGCAAGTCAAAATAATCCCAGCTAGTCTTGTACTGGTGCGTGCTGCCCCCTCATTTCACTGTTTTAACGAGAGAGTGGCCTTACAGCAAGGGTTGTCAAACTGGGGTGGGGTGTGAACAACCGGTCACCAGGAGGTAATTTACTAATCAGAAGGTTGGTGGTTTGATCCCTGGCTGTTCAAGTCTGCATCCCAAAGTATCCTCGGGCAAGTTGCTTTCTGAATGCATGCGAGTAGGTGAATGAGGCATGTTGTGTGCTTAAGAGGAGTAGGAAAGTGCCATTTTAACCATGACAGTGGTCCTGTAGACCACAGTGTGTGAGGAAAAGTGCAAGTGTCTCCCATGCCTGCTGCAGTCTCATTGGCTCTGACAGGCATGTTGAAAGAAATTCAGATTTGTCTCACAAAGACGCCAGCCCAGCTGATGTGCTGTTCTGAGTGTACTGACAGGAAAGAAGGAAATAAATAATAGATCCTCCTTAAAAATCTTAGAAGCTCATCTATCTGTCCCGACCTTACGTTTATCCAGATTACAAAACTTGCCTTTCGCCCTGACAAACCTCAACCTGAAGGCCATGTGGCTCGCAGAGAACCAGTCTCAGCCAATGCTCAAGTTCCAGACAGAGGACGATGAGCGAACAGGAGAGAAAGTGTTAACCTGCTATTTGCTACCCCAGCAGCCTTCCCCAAGCCTAGGTAAGCAACATGCTTTAAATAAGCATTTGAGTATTCAGACCTGTTAGACGCATGTATAGATGATGTTTATTTTAACTGGCACACTCTTTCTTCTGCCCTCTCTCTTTATCTGCAGAGAACCTGCTGCAGAACAGTGTAGATGGTAGCTGGACAGACAGCAACCTGAACAGAGTGTCGGTCATCCAGTTCCAGGAGGAGACCAAGGCTGAGGTGGATGAGGATGATGAGGCTGCTGCAGAGCGTAGAGTGAGTAAAAACTAAATAAAGCAAACCTGACCCATCAGCACAAAAGCTAAAAAAAAAGAATAATGTCGTGCTTAAAGGAAAATCAGATAAAACGGCTTTATTTTCCTTCTTCTTCTTCTTCAGGGCCTTCAGCGCAGAGCCACACCGCATCCCAGTGAGCTGAAGGAGATGAAGAAAGGGATTGAAGAGAGGAGGAATGAAGCCTACACATCCAGACAGGACGAGGATCAGTCCCTGGACCCACAGGTACATAACGTCAGAAATATGGTCACCACCAAATTAAAAAATACTAATAATAAATACGCAAATATCATTTCATTTCTTGCTGCTAAGCTCCAGAATTACAAACAACTAAACTCAAAATTTGCTCTAATACTGCCTGACTAGCTGCTGCTGTGGTACATGCTGATATAATAAAAATGATGTCATTGTTTTTAGGGAAAAAGGCTCAGTGACCTCTCCAATCAGAGCCATGACTCACAGGTGTCTAACAGCACGCTGTCGGCCACCTCCCACGAGGACAGACAAAATGTGACTGAGGCCTCTCACATGGAGAACCGTGTGGACGGCCCTTCCCCTCAGGATGAGGATGACCTTGATGAGATGGAGGTGGAGTACATTGAGGTAAATGGTGGATAGGTTTTCTCCTCATTTCATGGATTCAGTCTTTGTTTCTGTTAGACTCTAAAATCCTCTCCCTTTCTTTTCTCCAGCCCACTGTGCACTTTGCAGAAGAACCCATCATCCGAGGTGGGGACGAGGACCACGAAGAGGACGGCGAGGACGGCGAGAGGAGTGACGAGGAAGACAAGAGGCCCATGGAGAAGCGTCTGATACGAAAGGACACGCCACACTACAAGAAGCACTTCAAAATCACCAAGCTGCCCAAACCCGAGGCTGTGGCCGCTCTGCTGCAGGGCTTCAGTCCCGACGCCCTCAACTCTTCTGCTCAGGCTGCCGAGGACGAGGAGGATGAGGACGAAGAGCAGAGTGATGGCACTCCTCAGCACCGCCACAGAGTGGAGGAGGCAGAGGACAGCCGGCATCAGGTCAACTCCAGCCAAGTAAAGGTAAAAGAGAGATCCAAACACTGGCAGGGTGCAGTTCAGGAATGTAGAAAGTGTTATATATCATCACAGCAGGACATGCAGCACACACCAAGTCAGCATATTTTAGGATTTAAAACTTTACATATATATTTTTCCTTGTTTGTTGCCTCTTTGCAAACATTTGATATTGTATGCATGGAGAGCCTTTGCCACCTTGCAAGCTGCATTCACTTAAGATGGATGTGGCGTTGCATGCAGGGTCATTCCTGAGATGAAGCCGCCCTGCTCTTGTGCTATAAATCCAGGGTGATGCATTACATTCATCGCAAACTCACCAACAGCCTCATCTGGCCCCCTCAGATTTTGCCTCTCCTAGCCTGTTCCCCCACAGAAAGCATGCAGACATGTCGGCATAAATCAGCCACAGGCCATTGTGATCCCTTGTTTCCATACAAGACTGCATTCAGATCTTTGTCTAAACCTTTTTTTTTTCTTTGTGGATAAATTCAGCCTTTCTTGCTCAACACTGGCGCGCCTTATCATCAGTTACCTGCTGATTTAATTGAATATTGACACTTGCACACTGCTTTTGTAACATTGTATGCTTGTAAAGTATGAATGAAACGAGTGAAGGATGCTCGGGAGCTGCTTATCAATGAATGTCCTTGTTGATCATTAGACTTATTAAATTGAGATCTGTTAATTTGTGTCACGCTAATTGTAGAAATCCTTTTTAACCTAATGATCAAACATCATCATGAATCTGTTTGGTGTGTGGGTATGGATGTGTGCGTGCGTGTGGGTGACTGAACTCGGACCAACCAGAACATGTACTGGCAGAGCTGGAACACAACATCGAATGAGCCTGGCTTGCGTCACATGGTCGTATTTTCTTTCACTGGATTTTTGTAGGGACTTTGTTCTTCTAGTAAATCAGTTTCTGTATCATTTCTTTTGTACTTTCAGTGAATCGTTTAGCTATGTTTATATTTTTTTTAGCCTGAAACTGACTTCTTCACCTAAATTTAAGTCTTGCTCCTGGAGGAAATTGCTGTTGATGGTGTGGAGGCTGGGCTTGTTGTGGTTTGGGAGCTTTTGCCTTCTTTTGTCCACTCTCTCTGCACTGTATTTTTTGCATTCTGGCTCAGCTCCTTGGTCTTGTCTTTCCACCTCTGCCTGTATTTTGCTTTTGGTGGCTGGGGAGTGAGTGTGGATTCACTTCTGCTTCACAACCTGCAAGCAGACAGTGGCGTGTTGAGTGTCTGGTGTGTCTGGAGGTTTTTATATTTTTTTTGTTCTGTTTTTTTTTTTTTTTTGGGTGTGTTTGTCTGTGTGCATATTTTTATTTTGGCCTGACTAATCCGCATGCCTCTTGCTGGTTCCTGTCCTAACAGGGGGTGTCATTTGATCAAGTCAATAATCTGCTGATTGAACCTGCTCGAATTGAGGAGGAAGAGGTCTGTACCTACTCTTTCCCATCCACTCTTGTCTTTCCGTCCCTCACTCACCCATTCATTTGTCCACCCATACTCAGAAATGGAGAAAACTTCCCACAGAAATCCACGGTTAATCCGAGCCGATCACTAGGGAACCCCTCTAATCCCAGCTCATTCACAGGAGGGGCCAGTGTGGCAGAACCTGAATACAGGACTGAAACTGACACTATTTATTTCTTCCTTCTTCTTACTGGACAGCTGGAGTGTGGACACTTTAACCCTGTGATAGTAAACATGTAGTGAGAGTTTCATTCTCAGCATTTTGAGCTTTTTGGAGTCTAAAGCAGAGGGCCAGGCACTTGATAACATTTAACTTTTAATTAAATTTTTGGCCTTTTAAACACAACATTTGTGGTTTTCCATTGATCCTTCCCTTCTGGGTTTTATAATAACCCAATCACAGGTCATACCTGAAAAACAGCATTTGTTTAATAAATTGCCTGAACTCAGTGAATAAATTAAGTTGTTTTTTTTCTTTGTAATCATAGTAAGATTGTTACTTCCACCTCAAAACAAGGTAGTCATCATTAACTGGTGATTAATTAACCCCGCCCCCTCAGTATTTGAACATACACACCAAAGAGGAAAAAATATATACCACCAGTTCCTCTGTTAAATAAACAGTGTGAGGAAAACACGGAGAACAGGTTCTCAGCGAGGAGTCGGTATTCTTATCATTGCACGTGCTGCAGATTGATCAACCATATCTGATGTTTTTGCATATAGGTTAAACATGTAGGTTAATTTCAGTGCATTTACAGCAGTTTTGCACAGCTTGCACATATTGCTATTTTGAAGGAAACTCTGGCCTTTCCAGTTATTGAGTAGTTGAATTCTCCTCTTCAGGCTGAACCAGATCTTTTTCTTTTCCTTCTATAAAAGGGTTAGTGCCATAAAGATTGAAGTTTGCAGATATTCAGTCAGTCCAGGTTCTGGCACACTCTGCCTCTCCCCTGCCGCTCCTCTGCTTCTGCTGCTTTGCTCCTTTTTCATCCCGTCCAGTGCCTTGTCACCCTGGAATGAATGGGCTGGTTACACTCTGATGAGGCAAACCCACTTTCCCAACTTCCTCCAGGTTTTAATCCAGCTTCCAAACAGGATAACCGGTGGATGGATGACAAAGTCGATTTTTGATTGTGTAAATCTGTAACACATGGCTGTTATTTCAAGTGCAAGAAAGAGCTTATTTCAGATTTGCTTTTGTTTTTGTTTATTCCCTCCATCTACATTTTATTTTTTGCATGATTCACTGTATATCGGTACATTTAGTATGTTTAGTGTGGGTGATGAAAATTTGCAAGAAACATTTGTTTTCGCTCTTGTCACACTGAGCAACACTAGAGTCTCAAAGCAAGGACTCCACCTTTAGGGCACTTAAAACTGTTGTCTGTTACTTCCTTCCATCTGTACCTCATTTGTCTCCATTCCTCCCCTTTTTGCATGGCCTGCAAGTATGCATAATGTACACAAGTCTACACTCCAATTCATACATAATACACTTGGTCTCACTGAGTCCAGCCGAAGCATTTTTACACAGTGTGTTAGAATTCATGTCCCATGTCAGTCCATTGGTTAATTGGTTAATGATTTGGGTAAAACTTTTTGTTCATGCTTTAAATCAAATTCAGGCAAACACAAAGCCATCTGCCTCCCATTTAAACTGGCATAGGCCCATAAACTGACACTGAAGTCAGCGTTTATCCATCAGCAAAAACAAAGGGTGCAGCACTGATTGACGCCACCTTCTTGCTGAAGGAGGTTACCCACGACTTAAAATACAGGGTTCATCAAAAAGAATCATCCAATTTTAAAGTGCTTTGAACCTGCAGCTGTTCACCGATCAACTATCGAAACACGTACCGTGAGTAAGAGCACATTCGTGAGTTTCATGTGGTTGCCGGTAGGTAGCATAACAACAGCACTGACTCCAGACAATGCTCACTAAAGTATGGAAGGAGTTTGGCTATGTCATGGACATTTACCATGCGTCCGGAGGGAGGCACATTGAGCACTTGACACTGCAAGCTTTGCATAAAACTTTATATTCATGCATTTTAAAAATTTACCACATGGTTCTTTCTCTGTCCATTACTTAAAAAATGTAGCCTTTCAAAATCAGATAATTCTTTTTGATACACCCTGTATAAACCCAAACAAAACAAAGTAAATCGCCGTGGGCTCGTTTTCCTCTTAATCTGCCCTAAGATGAGTAGGCTTTTTATGGGTTTTCACTCCCAGTATTGTTGACTCCCCCGTCCTCAACTTGCAGCACACCCTCACCATCGTGCGACAAACAGGCGGCCTGGGCATCAGCATTGCTGGTGGAAAAGGATCCACGCCTTACAAAGGAGATGACGAGGTAGGGCTGGGTACCTGGGGTTTGTTTAGGTTTGGAAGTATTTGAGGTCACAGACTGACTGTGTTAATGTTTGGTTGCTTTTAGGGAATCTTCATCTCCAGAGTGTCTGAAGAGGGTCCTGCAGCCAGAGCTGGAGTTAAAGTGGGAGACAAACTGCTGGAGGTAAACATCTGCATGTCTGTGTGTGACAGGGAGGGTGACTAGAAGAGTGTTTTGTTAAACAGAAAACAAACAATCTCCTTGTCTCAGGTAAATGGAGTGGACCTCCACGAAGCTGAGCATCACACAGCAGTGGAAGCTCTCCGCAGCTCCGGTGCTACAGTTTCCATGACAGTGCTGCGGGAGCGCATGGTGGAACCAGAGAACGCCATCACCACTACACCGCTTAGGCCCGAGGATGACTACTTCCCACGGGAGAGGCGGAGCAGCGGCCTTGCCTTTAACTTGGAGAACAGTCCAAGCGGGCCGAGGCAGCGGTTCTCCACCTGCCTCATCCGTAATGACAAGGGGCTGGGATTCAGCATCGCAGGGGGGAAAGGCTCCACGGCGTACCGCACAGGGGACACGGTGAGGAAAGAAAAGAAAAGAAAAAAAAGAGCCTCAGCTGGCTCCTTTCGATGTGGAGGAGCCGCGGCTCGACTCTGAGCCCCTCCCAAACGACTGAACTCCTCACCCTATCACTAAGGGAAAGCCTATCCACCTTTTTCTCATCCTCTGAAGATCACTTCTTATATTGAGCTGTCAGATACACATCATAAAGTTCATAGTGCTGACATCAGAGGCAGAGAGGTGACGGTTGTGACAGTACAGACATTAAATTCATTACGTGACAGATGAGGCAGAATTTATTCGCAAATGGAATAAAAATGTTGATATGTAGAAAAACAGGCTGCGGTTACGTTAATCTGTCTTTGTGGATTGACCATCATGTTGCCGTCTGCTTGCAACCATTTATTGATCAACTGCTGTACGTGGAAAAGGCATCTGTCCGTCTATGGTGCACTCTTTGTTGTCATACTACAACCAGTTCTGAGCGGGTAAATGATTTAGCTGTTTCAAGTGTGTTTGCCGTGTATTTCTCTGTTGATATGCATGAATGCCAGCTAAATTATTGAGAACATAACTGATAGATTAATCCATACTTAGAATAATGGTTGTGGATTGTTCCCAACACCTGGTGTAAGCCCTGTCTGCATGTGAAGCGATTGATTTGCTTTGCTTCTGTAGCTGAAACTTGGGCACTACTGTAAGAGTCCAGGCCTCTTGTTGCCAAGGTGACCCTCTTATGGATTTACCATCCCATCATTTTCCACCCAGCAGCATCTTTTGCTCCCATATCAAACACCTCCCTCATAGTTGACCTGCCCACCGAAATTATAGTTAAGTAAACCTTAAAAGTAAGAGTAATTTATATTTAACTGAGTTTTATTTAGCCTGATAGGAGACTATCAGATCACAGTGTCATGTCTGATGTTAAAATAAGCAGCACAAGGGACAGATGTTTATCTGAGATCTGTATCATGTTGTAGTTCATTATGCAAGTTTGTGTAAACATCCAAGCAGAGCGTCCTCTGTTTGAATCAGTTAAATGGCATTACAGAAGTATTCCTGTCATTCATCTTTAGATGATTTAACACAATACTTCATTGAACTGACTCAGTTCTTTGAGGGAGTTGTTTGGTTCCTCAGATTGAGATGTGATGGCTGCTTTATTTTTACTCGTGTGATGTATGCAACCTTCTGTCAACGTCCAAATCTGGGGAATGAAGAAGGGAATAGAGGAAAAAGACATTTTAAAAAAACATCCAAAACTGCAGACAGTGCCTCATACTATCAGTAAAAGGGTTTTCAAAAAGTGTGGTTTGAAAGTTAGGAAGTGAAGTCACATGTTTGCAGTAACAGTCTCAGTCAGAGCGAATCTGTCTTTTAACGCCGTCTATTCTGGCCACAGCGCTTACAGTCATCTCCTGGGAGACGCCGATATGAATAGCCAGCCTTGACACTCGATAGGCCTGCTGTAATTTGGATATGTATATTTGGGCCAGCACAGTGCTGCTCTGCAGCTCGAACAGCTCCAGGAGCCCACAAAGAGGGAAGGAGTCATAAACATAAGGTTTAAGCGGGTCTGACTGTAAGTCTTTCCTCCCTTTCAAAAAGCCTTTTGAAGTGGATGCAGTGACTCACCTGGTGGATGTGAATTGGTGCACGAGACTTTGCACATGCATTTGTTTACACATTCTGTTCATGTGGGACAGGCTAGCAGCTAGGCTGGGTTTTTATTGGTGTACAAACGGTGTAATGTGTCTGAGCAAAGGGGACAGCGTTTCAGCGCTCGTACTTTGTAACGAGCTGCTGGCAGTCGAGGCTTTTAATGCGTTTTAACTATTTGGCGCTGACCTGTTAATCAGTTATATGTAGAGGTTGTTTGTGTGTTGTCTGGCAGTGTGGGCTGCTAATGTGTCGAACTATGTCAATTTTGCAGCAGTCATGAAAACAAATTCAGTTTTTCTTTAAGTGCGAGCGTTTACATATAGGTCTGTGGTTTGTTGTAGCCATCGTTCGGAATGATGCCGTTGTTAGTGGCAGTATATGAGAATGTTTGAGTAAAAAATAAGTTTAAATCAGTAGTCGTCCTTGTCTTGTTTTGTTTTAGGGAATCTACATCTCTCGAATCGCAGAGGGCGGAGCGGCACACAAAGACAGCACGCTGCGTGTGGGCGACAGGGTGATCTCTGTGAGTACTACCATCCTTCTCCATCTGGACACTGTAGTGTTGACTGTGATCAAAGCAGGGCTTTCTTTACAAACAGGAATAAGTTTAGACATGAATCCCAAACAATTAGGTATCGTTTTTGTGTCGTGAGAATAACAGCGATACAACATTTTTCCTACATCTGGTAAATGCGGCATTTACTTTTTGACATTTTTGTTGCATTTTGTTCCATTTTTATTGTGAAACTGTGTCATTTGTGCCAGCATCACTGCTTTCATAAGTCAGTTTTAGGCTTTGTGTGACTGACATGGTGTTTCCATCCTGAGCATATGAATTAAGGTTATCTCATCAAAATCTCACACATCACGTCCATGAGTTAGTGATACGGTCCTCATATGAAAGTCATTCTCTATTTGGATTCGATGAAGATTTTTTATTTGCTTTAGTTAAACATTAAAACATTTAGCCTTTGCATGATCTTTCTTTTCATCCCACTCCAAGCTTTGCTTTGTGCTCCCGTATCTTTCTGCGTATTAGCAACTCTTCTGTCGCATGTTTTTGTCCGGTCACATGCACATTTGCACACTTTGTTATTTACTGTAAACGAACTGATGATGATCAGATCTGTTTCTTTACTGCACTTCCTGCTCTCTGTAATCACAGAAAAGCTTCCTGAATGGTCCTCTTTGCCTTCTTTCTGGGTTTCCTCTTTTCTTTCATTGGCTTCTCTTTGGTTCTCTTTTCCTCTCTCACGCTCTCCTGTTGTGCATGCTCACTAATGCATTGAGTACATCTCCTTGCCTGCTTGGTGGTGGGTATGGTGTTGGGGGTGGAGTGGGCCGAGCCTGTTGCTCTGCTGATTTTGTGGAACACGAGTTACCACAACAGCAGGAGCTGCAGTGTGTCAGCCCGTGGTAAGAGCTGGTACTGTCGGGTCTGTGCCGACCTCTGCTTGTCACGTTGGACTAGACTGCATGCCTAAAAGCTACCCCTATTTATTTGATCCTAAAACACACATAAACAGTAATGAAATGGTTAATCTGTGGTGTCTGACGACTTCTTGTTGCCTTTGTGGACTTAAGATCAATTTTGGAGAAGCTACACACTTCCACTGAAGTTTTAAGTAAACAAAGGCAAGAAGTGCTGAACTGATTACATGAAAAGATAGCAGCATGGGCATTCATGAGCTCACTTCAGGCAGTTTGACGAAAAATAGTTCTGCTTGCTTGCAGCTTTTCTCCCTCAGGGACGCTCTGCCATCTTAAATTGCCTGCAGCACCCCTCACTTTCCGTATAAGATCCTGCTGCTTTGTGTAGGTGTTTGGTTCTTCTTTAAATAACTCGCTTTGGTGCACTTGAAAAATCTCAGAATTACAAATCAGATCGGTTTAGAACTTAAACATTCAGTTTTCATTTTGGGTAATGAATGGAGAGAGCGATGAGAAACGACTGTTGGCAGGCTGGGTTTGTTGTCAAATATTCATCCTATGAGTAGCAAATGACCAGTGGGAGCGTCCTGGTGGGCTGACACCCTCCGCGGTTGGTTTTACTGTGAATCCAGATCAATGGTGTAGACATGACAGAGGCCAGGCATGACCAGGCAGTAGCGCTCCTTACCGGCACCTCCCCCACCATCGCCCTCCTGGTGGAGCGTGACTTGAATGCACCAGGGGGCTCTCCAGGTCAGACCCGGGCACGAGCCCACTCCCCTCCACCCCCAGAACCATCGGATTCTCCAGACCAGGACGAGGAAGGCCTCGGGAACCATCTGAGCCGGATGGAGGACGAGTATCCCATTGAGGTGAGAATTCGAGGACTGACTTGTGTGTCGAATAGTTTTGGTTTTTGTTTAGTCGTTTTAGTAGCCATTGCTGTAGAAACGTCATTGAAGCACTCAGTGTTAATGCTTGTTTATGTGGCCTCGCCTTATCCTTATTGCTGTCCAGTTCCAGAGAAGATGGTGTATGGTATGAAGGCTTGAGTAGTTAGTAGCTGTCAATAAAGCACTAATGGTGTTGTTAAATAGAAAGTTGTTTTTGATATTTATTAGACTATAACAGATGTAGATTTGACTTGTGATGTTTGAGTCGTCGTCTTTACATTCAGGCTTTAAATTATTTTTCAAATCTTCTGCTAAAGCCAATCTAACCTAATCCTAACAGGAAGTTACCCTGGTGAAGTCTGGAGGCCCTCTAGGCCTGAGTATTGTAGGAGGCAGCGACCATGCCAGCCACCCTTTTGGTATCAATGAACCTGGGGTGTTCATCTCAAAGGTATTACTGTAAAACAGGTGTATTCTTACACTTTCATCTCCTGAAAGTGACTGACATCTCCTGTTGCATGACTCCGTGACTTCACCTCATTTCTTCAGGTGATTCCTCATGGGTTGGCAAGTCAATGTGGGCTCCGTGTTGGCGACCGGATATTAGAGGTGAACAGCATTGACCTGCGACATGCCACACACCAGGAAGCTGTGCGGGCCTTGCTGGCCAACAAACAGGAGATCCGTATGTTGGTACGGCGGGACCCTTCACCGCCGGGAATGCAGGAAATCATGATCCAGAAGCAGCCTGGAGAGAAACTTGGTATCAGCATTCGCGGAGGGGCCAAGGGTCATGCTGGAAATCCTTTCGACCCCACAGATGAGGGCATCTTCATCTCAAAGGTTCTTTAGCAATCCAAAGCAACACATCTTGGCACGACTCAGCTTTAATTGAGGTTATTATCAACATGAGAAATGTGAACATGCTCACATTTTTGACTGTTTTCTGCAGGTGAGTTCGACCGGCGCAGCGGCAAGGGACGGGCGACTGCAGGTTGGCATGCGAATTCTCGAGGTGAACAACCACAGCCTGCTGGGGATGACGCACACGGAGGCGGTGCGAGTGCTCCGTGCTGTCGGGGACTCTCTGGTCATGCTGGTTTGTGATGGCTTTGACCCTGGCAAAGTGGCTGCAGTGGAGGTGAGATGACATGAACAGTCAGATTTGGATATGTACAGTTTATTATGTACAGCATGAACTTACCAAACCTCTGATCGTTCTGTCTTTATATCAGCTAATGTATATCCCTTTTTTATCATGTACCTGGCTTGAGTGTTTAACTAGAACTATAGCTTTCAGTTAAAAACATCTCCATTTTCAAAGGTTTAAACGGTACTCTGTGTTGGTTTTCAGGCATCTCCGGGTATCATTGCCAACCCATTTGCAACCGGTATTGTGCGAAAGAACAGTATGGAGAGCATCTCTTCTATAGACCGAGACCTGAGCCCAGAGGAGATGGAAATAATACAGAAGGTGTGTTTTTACTACAAGTGCACATTTTAACTTCTATACATAAACTATATATAAAAGATGGCCACTACAACATTGATTTTTGCACTCCTTACGCTCAAAGTTTAGCAGTTTATCTGGTGAATCTAAAAGTGAACTTATATGGATGAGAGGGCAGAGTGTTATCTGCTGAGACCACAGTCGCGCAGATCTAGAGTTGGTAGATCTGAGCGAGGTTACTGGCTTATGCCATGTGAAATCGATTTCAAAGAGAGCATTGAACAAAACCTTTAACCTTGTTATAGTTTTAGTCACTACCAGATTGGTGTGGTTGCCTCTAATTTGCATAGAAGACACACACTTGTCTCCAAATACTCCGTGATGAATAAACAGGCAATGGCGCATAATGCGCACCTACCAAATTATGCTTCCAATAGAATCATAAATTAGGATAATGAAGCAGGACATGCTTCAGATGCATTGCTACGTTATAACCATGCAGTGTCCCTCAGTTTCGACTCACTCTTTAACTCCAGCTTCCAAACATTAAGATGTTCAGCCTGCGGCTTCACAGCAGGATTCACTAACCATCTGGTGGCAACACAGTGGCTTCATTCTTTAATATATGGTCTATGATTTGAAGTTCATTTTGCTGCTTGAGAAGCTGCAGATTTTTTCACTTGTGCACGAGCTTCATTTTTTCATTACATTGCCATCACTGATGTACTTAAGGTCAGGTACTGATGGTGTTGATTTTAACATGCAGAATGCACTTTTGAGGCTCCTTAAAGATCCAGCAGATCCACATAAGTGCAGTGCAAAGCTGGTGTACTAACCAAAGCCGCTGCCATTCAGCGCAACCTGTGAATCGGATGTTTTATTCAGCAATTCTGCCACACCAGCACAGTGCTTCCACAGCAGTTTGGTGTTAGCAAGTGGAGTTGTACAGATTTACTCATTCTGGGCATGCACGCCGCACGTACCCATCTTTCTATCGGAGCGGCCAGAATGCGCCAGCCCAGTTGTTTATTTTGTCCAGATTCGTTTTTGGGAGGCTGCCCGTTCTAAAGGAATGCAGGGTCTGCTGGTTTATTGAATGCCATGTTTCTGCTGTTTCTCTGCACACGTTTAGCCGTAACCACGTTTGCCAGGGCTTATTTACAGAAACTGAATTGCCTCTGCTGAGCTTTACATGATGAACAGTAGCTTTTAGCATTGTAAGGTTAAATGTTGGTCTTCGTCAGGAGTCTGAGATGGTGAGAGAGACATCACAGTGGGAGCGAGAAGAGATGGAGAAAGTGGTAAGTGAAATTGAAAATCATTTGTTTTGGGAAAGGTAGAGAGCAGATTGATGAAGATGAATCAATGCAAGAAAACTCAGTTTTTCTGTGGCAGTATAGCTGAAAAGAAATTATACTGGGTCTGCAGGGTGGAGTTAGAGTCACATCCTCACGTTTGCCTGTTACCGGGTGAATGAAGCTTCCCCTCTGCACCCTGTGTGGGCATCATGTTTGACAGAACTGTTCCTGCAATGTCCCACCTTGCATGCTTTTTCTGCTCCTATAGCTGATGAATAGAATACTTTTTAATGTGTGTGGGTTCTATCCTTTCTTTCCCTTCTGTTTCTTTTTTTCACCTATCCTCTACCTTTGGTGCGTTATGTGTGATCCAAAATCATCCAATCATTCCATCTCCATACCACTTTCCTCACTGTTGTTTCTCTTCTCTCTAACACTACTTTCCTCGTCTTCCTCTTTATTTCAACCCTCATCGCATTACTGTGTGGCTGTGTGTGACTGTGTGTGTCTTCCCCTCTGTACTTCTCCTCTTCCTCCCCTTCCTCTCTTGGTGAAGGAGCGAATGCGCTTGGAGCGTGAGGAGGCAACTCGCCTGCTAGAAGAGGAGACTGAGGTGAGATACTCCTCATCAGCAGGTCCTCGGGTGAACTTCCTGTCTGCAGTTTAGACACAAATGCTAAATAAATGTGTCTTAAACTTTTATACATCTTTTTTTTAAGGGACCCAATTTAAATTGGAATAGTTGTGCTGGAGGTGCCCTGATAAGTGTCCACCTGCAAATGTAACCAAACAAAGGGTACAAACACTTAAATCATAATTGAAGCAGCTCCTAAAGGAAAAAAGAGGAAATTCCCAGTCTTCTTTTTGACTTTTAGTTTCAATTTTTAAAAAATTTAAATCCTTAAAAACAACTCAATATCATGGAAAAACCACCCTTAGATTTATGAAACGTTCACATTTATACATTTAGAGTCAGGAGTTCCAGATCAGTGCAGGTGATTTAAAAACCCTGGAATTAGGCTTATTAAACCTCATCTGAGTTCTGGATTTCTCTTTGCTCTTCAGCATCTTTAAAAAAGCGCTTTAAAAAAAGATCTCTAAACATTTAAACGAAAGCGTTTCACTTTAAGGAAAATCTACTGTGAGTGAGGTCAAATACTGACTGTGAAGCACTTTTTGGTATGAGGGACTGAGCAGCCGTTGCCCACTCGTTAAATTGAACTCTAGGTAAGGTAAATGACTTTAATCACACTGGAAATCCAACAAGAAATGTCTCAGAAAGAAGAGATGTAGTGTTATGAAAGGGAAAAAAAAGTATTGCTATAAAAAAAGCAAATTTAATGGAAATAAAACTCCTAAGAAGCTGTTTCAGCTCTAAAAGGCTGATGAGGGTTGCTACCTTTTTCCGCAGAAGGATATTATAGCTGTTAACATTATTTGTGGAGCTATTTCACGTACTGATCAAACAATAACCCAATCCACAGATTTGAAGGCTTATTTAAGCTTTATAAAACTTTTACAGCTGCTATTTCAGCTGAACATATTTGATCGTCTAGTCTACATATAATGATAGATGCAACAACCCTGAGGTTTCCTTTGATATTAGACATCAATTACATGTGTTTAAATTGTCATGCACAGCTGGAAAACTTTTAAGACTACCGAGTAGGAAAATCACTCACAGTCAGACGTACAGAAAGTGCCAGTATTGATCTTTCGCTTGATTTCTTGTATTTGTTATGTGACCACCTGCTCTTTGTAAACTGAACTTCAGTGCAGACCGTCTTACCTCTGGGTCTGTTTATTTCCCATCAGAGCATTGGCACTGGACCGCTAAAGCTCGACTACAAAACGCTAGCTGCGCTGCCCACCACGAGTCTGCAGAAGGTCAGCAGGGTGAGTTTTACTTCATGTTTGTCTGATTTTTACTTTTCAGAGTTTGTAAAAAGAAAGCAGTCTTCTTGAGTCAGCATTTTGGGAGCGGCCCATGCAGGAAGTCTCTTTAAAAGCTCAGAATAGACCCAGCGTCAGTCAGCTGGACCTCTATGAGCACTTAACACCTCCATGATCTTCACCGCAAGTCAACATTGCTGAAGACTAAACCTTGACTGCACAACACACAACAAGAGCAGAAGTAAATGAAGAGTCTTACGGGAAGACTAAAGTAATCCGGGAAGAATCACAAACGAAAGACTAAAAGAAAAACTACATAAAGTGCAGAAGATTTTGGGAATGGAAGAAGGCAAAGCCCGAAGTCAGTCTTTGTATTCTGCAAGTGCGAGAGGGGGAGCTGGTGAGATACTGGAAAGGGGACAGCTGTCCACTATCAACTGGCCTATCTGTGATATTTTAAACCTGCATCTGGTTCTGAATTGGATGGAGTCTCCCGGGTGGGTGGGATGCTGGCGGACGGGGGGTGTCGCCTAAGAGGAAAAGACAAGTGTTTTTCGGTTTGAGTTCCCAGTCTTAAGGGGAATACGTTTGAGTGAACATAGAGCTCTGTGCTTTTACCGTCCTACAGTGAGTATAACGAGTTTAACTGGAGGAAGTTTAAAGATTTAAAGCGACTCTGTTTTCTGTTTTTTCTGAGTCTTTCTGTCCTGTCTGTTCTCTCGTCACTCTTATTTTAATCCAATTTTGTCTGTAATATGGTTGTTTAAAAACATTTTTAAACAGCAAATGTTAAATAATTCGCATTAATAATGCAGCTATGTGTGAAAGTTGTAAATTAGCAGCAGTACAGGCTTTTTCTCAGTAACCTGTGAGAGTAGAACTTAACCTACATATCGTCTGCAGCTGTTCCTGCTCTGTGTGCTCGAGCTGCTCTGCACACGTGGTCCTGTTCAGACTGTACTGTAAGAACAGCGTGTTGGTTAGTTACACTCATAGTGGACCAATATTTTAAATTGAAGGGGTTAGCATCTCATAAGCCCTGATTTTGATGGTGAAACACAAGTGGGTGTGCTTCATAGCACCGCTTTGTTGTAAAAATGTTTCAACAAAAGAACAGGTGCTGCTTAAATATTAGTGATACAAGATGTGATTTATAAGAAGTTGAGATGAATTCAGACCTGAGAGCAACCTGCTAAACTGCCAATAGATAAATGTATAGAGGGCCTTGTTTTATTGGAACTGAGTGTGAAGACATGGTTGTATTTCCCATTTGTTGGTGTTTAAATCATCCTCTCTCTACTGTTCCTTCATAATAAAACCTTTCTATAATAAATATAAAAATAAAAAGGGTGGTTTAACCAAATTCCTAGAATTTTCCAAGAAGTTTATCCCGATTTTTAACTTAGGTTTACAAAGGTTGAATTTTGACGTTTATATTTGACATCAATTTTTTGTGATGTTGCCTAACGTATCCTATTAACGGCCCTAACCGATCCAAATTTTTAGAGTAGGGAAAACTAGTAGTGTTGTACTCCAGAAATTCCTGACTAAAAATGTGTTAGACCCATTCAGATGTCATTTAAGATAATCTGATACTTTCTGTTAGTAAAACTTTTTATTGGTAAATATGTATTTGGTTTTTAAGGACATCCCAAATCCTGATTAATGGAGCTATCATTTAATTTTACACAGAAAACATTTTCCATAAATTTTGTTCTGGCACTTCAGACTCTGCTTTCTGTTACTGATTCATGGCATTCACTTAAAGCCGTGACTGAAGTGTTTAAACGCTTCAGTTCCCAGGTTGCTTTGGACTTCCCAGACAGCTCAGCGCGTTGGCATGCCGGCGAACGAGCAGCCTGACTTTGCTCTGTCACAGCCGGGCCCCAGCTGTCCCTCGCAGTCGGTGTCGGTGCCAAAAGGGCACTCGTTCACATTCCACCTCGCTGACCCTCATCGCAGCGCCGACTCTGACAGTACAGAGCTGCCTTGCTGCTTCACAATGCTCGCTGTATTCTTAGTGTGGCTATTTCGATTATCACCAGACATGTCAAGGCCATGTGGGATAAATTCCACTGCAGTTTGTCTGAACTGACCTGAAGATTTTTAACGATTTTAAGGTCTTAAGTATGTGAAACAGAACATGGCCGAGATTCGGTTTCAGAGTGAACGTTGGTTTAAAATCTGCGTATTCTCTCAGCTGTGACACGAGCAGTAGTCGTCACTGTTAAGTACAGGAGGAGCTGAAGGTGTGCTGGAGCCCGAATGTCTCACTGGTCTGATAATGTTTATTTAAAGCACATGCTAGGAGTGTGGGCTGCGGCGAGTCTTGAATGATGGCCGCTGGGAAACGTATCTTAAAGGCTTTGGGAAAACTCTTTTTAGCACCAAGACGCTTCTCTGTCGAGCTCATCTCACGTTTTAGAGAATGTATCAGATACTACATGAATGTACGTATTCAGTGTCCACATATTGTATTGATTGTGCTTAATTAGTTTCAAGCTGACCCTAAAAAGCGAGTTTTAGTATCTTTATTAATTTTTTTTGTGGTCATAATGTTAAAATATTTTGATGACAAATGAGTCATTCATGCAACCTTCTATTTAAGCACAATGAATATAATATATATCTCATTACACAAGCAGAAAATTATGTGTTTCTTTGTGTTTTCATTCAGTTTAGTCTTCTAACGACTGGCCCTTTGGGTCATTCACCATAAACAGCATCTTCATCCACTTCTTTCTAACAATGAGTTCAGGATCAAAAGCAGGGCTTAAATGACTAAGCCCTAATCCAAAGTCCTTTTAGGGTTTAATAGCAAATATTTAATAGAAAAATCTATTTGATTGGCGGCTTTAAGGGTTAGAATTGATCAATATAAGTGCATCTTATCCTGTAAGTTTAATCCTATCAAAAGTTACACATTTAAAATTTTAAAAAACTGGTATTTTTATTATTGTTTATAAACCAGTCATGACCCATCTGGTGTACCTGTAACTGGGAGATTGATTAATCTGTAATATTTTGAAAATAATAGTTGAAGTCCTACAAACAGGCCACTAATGTTTTTTATGGAGCTGCTGAGTTGGCACTTCTATTGGAGGGAAATTAAAGATGAGGAGAAGATCATTGCACTTCCAGTACCTGCAAAAACCAGTTAGTCTGTGCAGGGGGGGGGGGTGAGTGAACCTGAGATCACATACAGTTAAAATTTTAGAGTTACAAATTTAGTTTTCTGCTGTTGAAATTGGTACCCCTTGGTCTCTGCAGTAACTTTAGTGAGAACAGCCAAACCTGTGAGGAGGGAATTGAGGTGGTAATCAACTTGTTTTGTCGTTTAATCTAACTGAGAGCAGCTTCCTTTCTTCTCTGTATTCTGGAGTTCCTGTCACTGGTTTACTGTCTGTCTGTCCCCCTCTTTCCTCTGCTGCTGTGCAGTTTTCTGTCACTCTGACTGATCCTATGGAGGCCCCCGTGCAGGCCCAGTACACAGCTCCTTTAAAGCCCCTAGGCTTTGGTTTAGATGAACCCTCTAAGTCCCTCAGCCACTTGGACCCTGAGTCCAGCTCCAGTCTGAACTCAGACCCCAGCTATCTTCAAGGATCCCATTTCTCCCCTGATGGAACCTCCACCCCCCAGAGTACTGGCTCCACGACACCTCTTAATTCATCCCTTGCACCTGAAGAAGAGGAGTGCCTGGTGGACTCTCAGTCGATTTGCTTCAGCGAAAACCCTTTCTTGGTGGCTAATCGCAGAGGAAAAGGTCTTCCTCCTGGAGAGCAGATCCTGTCGGGGCCTCCGGTGGGCTACGGCAGACAGGGGCAGCTGCAGCCCTGGCTGTTCAGCAAGGCAAGAGAGACACCCGCCTGAGTGTGGTGTGGAGGCAGCATGGTGTGTTAACAGAAAGCTGCACTCTGAGATAAATACTCTCAGTTCGATGATTCATGTGAAAGAATTTTTTCTCTCTCTAGGACGCTCTTTGGCCAATTCATTCATATTAATCCTGTTTTAATAACAACCAGCTGAACAGTTGCATGTTTTTACTGTGAGCACAGAGCTTGTGGCACCTCGTGAGGTATTTGTGAGTCTGTGATGAGGATCGACTGGAATGTCTGAGCCGACAGCTGTGAGGAGGAGGAGGAGGGTCACGAAGGAGCACGGCACAGAAAAGCGCATGTTTAGGGAGGCGTAAATTCACAGCTGGACTAAACAGTTTTTTGTTTTTGTTTTGTTTTCTGCTCTGTGTTTTCAGTGAAACTGAGCGGCTGTTAAATTTGTGTCCTTACTTTTTGTTTTTCCAGGCGCCTTCCTCTGATTTCACCAGGACAGAAAGCCCAATCAGGGAAGCCCCTTACTCTCCTACTATCCAACCGGTAAGTGGCTCTTAAACCCAGCTCTTCTATTATTTATCGCCTGCTCTCATACCAATTTTTTTAATTAATTTATTTTTTTATCCCTTTTCCATGAGTCACTTGTAGCTCTTTAGAGGAGGTATTTGACACTTTGACCTCTCCTCCCACCCTTAGCCCAGCCACCACTCCTCCAACAGCTCCCTGTGTGCAGGCAGGGAGACCCGCTTCGTAAGTGGGGCATGCGGCCCTTTCAGCGCTGGCCTGGATTTCTTTTTTAACTCACGCTGCTCTGAGCTCTCTGACAGTAAAACATAACTAGCTGAGTGGTCTGAAAAGCATGCGACTGCTTCTCCGCAGCCAGCTGATTACTCATGGTTTGCCTCATGCAGACTGGAGAAATAGATCTACTGACCAGCTATGGCTTAATATCTTCTCACTGGGTGATCGTTTTTGTTCCCCCCTTGAGCTTTATCAATCTGCGTTGCATATTACGACCGCTGTCCCACATTTGGTGATCATATTAGCTCAAGGTAAACTCTGGTGGCTTCGAGTTTTCTGAAGAGTGTCTTTATGTGGCCTGGCATCATCCTAAAAAAGCCCCTTAAGTTTACATTTAGTGATTTTATTCACTGTGCTGCTGATCCATGCATTTCTGTGTCATTGTCATGGCTTTGTTTTAATTTTCGTTGCAGGCAACTATTCATTACACCTCCACTCCCACTGTCAAGGACAACCCCTCATCATCAGTGAGTGTCTCCAGAGCTCAGAAATAGCTGTTTTAGGATGATGTATTTTGCAGTATAAGAGTTTGTGTCCGTTTAACCACATATATGAAGCTATTTATGGTCTTGTATTTGATAGCCTACTGGTCACTATACAGGTGGGTGCTAAAGTGATGTGAACAGTTAAATAAAGTCTAAAATCTAAACATATATATTTCTTACATACAGTCTAGCCAGTATAGTAATGCATGCTAAAGTGCTAAACAGACCCTTAAAGTCTCTTTAGGTGCTCAGAATTGCCACGCCTGAAGTAGCTCTGGAGGAGGCGAAGCTTGATGTTAATTATATTCTATAAAATCTGCAGACATGCTCAGATGTATTTCACTCATCAACTCCACCCACTTTTCATTCATTCTAATTAAACTTCATCAACTCAAGCAACAGTTCACTTATATTTTACTATCAATATTTGTTTTCCTTCCAGACGCGACCAGGTGCCATCCAGCCAGTGGGGCGTGTTCGGCCCAGCAACTCGCCCGCCACACCAGACGGCCACAGCCCCAACCCCTTTCAGCATGGCCCCTCCCCCTTCAACTCCCAGACCTCTGTAAGACCCCTCACCACCACGTAGGGCTGTTCTCTCTCTCTGCTGTTGGCGTCCGTGCCACATGCTGTGACTACACAGCCTAAAAAATAATGATAGTAATAATACTAAAACAGTGCAGCAGTTACAGGTAATTATGGCACACAAATGAGCTTCCAAAGAAGTTAAAACCAAATCTGAAGTGTTTGAGTGCACAGGGGAGCTGAGTGTGTTCAGCCTCGGGCACATCTTGAGGTTGTAATTATTTGAGCTCTACCTGAAGACTCGACCCAGGATAACTCCTAAAAGTTAACCGCCTCACTCATTTCATTCTATCAGCAAGTAGCTCAAGTGGATCAGAAAATACTGATGAACCTATGATTTCATCTCACGTCTTCCTGATTGTTTTATAAAGTTGCTCATTGACGGGAGAAATCTTCCATTGCTTTGAACTCTCCAAGCCCTACTGTCTGTCTTTTTTGGCATACTCCCTCCTCTCTCACATGAAACCAGCTGCCATGCTCTTCACCTGTTCTCCTCCACAGTCTTCTTCAACGTTGCTGGTTTTTTTCATAGTCTGTCCTCTCCTCCATGTCTCCGTCTGTCTGTCCTCCCCCCCCGCCTCCTTTACCATATCGACCTCTCCCACCCTCCCTCCGTGACCCCCTCCCCACGCTGCAGCCTCGCGCCCCCTCCCCCTCCTCGCCCGACGAGTTTCCCATGAATGTCAAGCAGGCATACAAGGCGTTTGCCGCCGTGCCTCGCTCACTGGCAGTGCTGGAGCCGCCGCAGGTAGGCCGTGCTGTCCGGACTCAACCGGGTCACTACAACAACACAAGCATGCTGTGCTGCCTGGTTGGTCTCGTGCCGCATCCTCCTGACTGGAGCAGGCTGCGCTAAGTGAAGCCTGCGCCTTGTTGGGGGGGCCTGTGACGTGCTGTGACGTGTGGAATGCCTTCGTTGCCATCATCTGTCATATTGGTGTTGACTCTCGATCCATCCATCCGTTCATGTGTGGCTCGTGTACTAATATTCAGTCACATTTATTTAAAAATATATTACACCCCTGTGCAATATCGCTTAAATGTCAAATGATTAAAAAGTGCATTGTCTCTGTCCTTTAGCAAAGTAGTTTTCCATCCCTGACTGATTGCCTCCCTGAGCCTGGTTGTGCTGGAAATTTCTCCGCTTGCTCATAGGTGGTCTATGAGTGCCTTATAGGTCATATGATTGTTGGGGTTTTGTCTGTTTTCTTTGTATTATTGGAGGGTCTTTAACACCTTGAGGCAACTATTGTTGTGATGTGATGCTATATAAATTAAATTGAAATTAACTGAATAGTTTTTGCCAGTCGTGGTTTGCAAACTAAATTAATATAAATATATATTGTAACATTAGTGATGAATTGTACATGGAGATGGTTTAATACCCAGCAGGGTGCTTCATAAAGTGCCTCATGGGATGAAGGTCACCCAAACTTGGTCTTCTTGAAAATATGTAGCATAATTAACCTAACATGCAAACACTAAATGTCAACAAAAGAACACACATTGAACGCAGTTATAAGGCTGCTGTTCAGTACTCAGTTGAACTGTTAAATGCACAAATGTACACGATTGTGGGATTTTTATAAAACATTTTCTGTAGTTTCTGTCTGTATTTAGAAATCGGCTGACAGTTATTTGCAAACCTTCACCAGACTTTGTGACTATAGCAATTGTTCTGGAGACAGGTTGCCTCCCACCAGGGCCTAGTGGGAGGCAACCTGTGGCATCACCTTGTGATCAAAGTGGACAGCAAGGTTTTCACTTTCTTAAAAATCCCAGGTGTGCTGAGTTCTGTCTCAGCGATCACACTCTACTGTGTTTGTTTTTCATTGTTCATCTTATTAGCAATGTAGTTACACTTTTCAATCATTTGACGTGATATTGCAGGGGGGTGTGCTGACTCCTGTACGTCCTGTGTATCTGTTAATCGGTCTGCCTGTCCTCTGTAGTCATTTCAGTCCTGAGTCATTTTTGTGTCCTTCATGTTGCTAACACTCATTTCTTGCACTACCAACAGGACCTTTATGGCACAAGGAACAACTTCCAACCAAAGCAACCTTCTCCAGAGGTGAGTAAACATATCACAGGTGTCTGCTGTACCACGTTGACCAGAAAATAAAGACAGCAGTTGTTTCTAGACATTTAGTTTCTAAAAGTCCCCCTCTACAGTTTCATTATATTTGGGTCAATATGGTGTTTAAGATGTGAGTATTGAAGCTGTAGCTTTGCACATCTGCTCAAAGCGTGCTGCACTGATCATCTGGTGATGACCTGTGTGGCCTTTTCAGCCTGATTTGAACAACGAGGTGTTTGATGACACCGATGGTCGGGAGGGAGCTGGCGAGGGTCTGACCGGCAAGGTCTCCCCTCGGCAACCCCTCTTATCAGACCGTCGTGAGTATATGAGCTTTGCAGCAGTGCCGCGCCGCTCCACGCCTTCCATGGACCTGCAGGTACCCACCGCCTCCAACACAGCTAGAGCATCCCTGTGCTCATGTGCTTGGCTTGACCGGTGGTGGGGTCTGTGCTCCTACAGGTTGGAGACAACTATGCTACTTCTGTCAGGAATTGGGAGCGTCAGTTATTTGATGTGATGCAGCTTAATGGTGCTGGGTAATATTTTATGGCTGTTCTTTTTTCGTCCTCCTTGGTCTGAGATGCTTTTCTTGCATCTTTAACGACATCTTTTGACCTTCTTGCGAATGTCTCTGCAGCTTTAATTAGTCGGAATTAGTGCTGCGAGGACTTTCTATGTGTAGATGATCCTGCATTTAACATCTTCCCAGACACCAGAGTTTGTTTTTTTTTGTTTGTTTTGTTTTCCTTGTGCTTTTGCGTTATCACAGAAAACGAACTCTAACATTTGTTCTGTTCAGCAGTAGGGCTGTGCGATATGACCAAAATCTCATATCCCGATATAAGAATTCTATCATCTGATAATGATATAAATCACAAAAATGTAACATTTTCTGTAAATTCTGTGAATCTCGGGCAGCTCGACTTGCGGGAAGTGTTTCCAGCTGCAGTCGAGTGTTTTAACCGATGCATGAAACTATACATTTTCAGACATAAGTTGTAACGGCCGCCGTTTTCTTTGTGAGTATTTATTACACGGCGTGCTGCGGGGAAAAGCCTGTTCTAACGTTTGAGTCTAAGGTCTAATTTTTAGCACCTGGCGGCTCTTTTTTAATTCTCATCCGTAAATAATCTGCTCTTTCACGTGATTTAGTTTATTTTGAAAAGTCTCAACAGGATCTTGAGCTTTATTGTGAAAGGTTTATGTGGAACATAAACAAGCGGACATGCGATGGTGTTACCGTCGCATAAAAACAGCCACTTGTCCGTCCGTAGTGTGGTTATATAAAATATAAGAGAAAGAGAGAACTTTAAGAAATTAATATCGCCACTACAGTGACCATCAAAACGATGAAAAAAACATAAATAGTTTATTTTGCGACTCCACGAAACAAACGATCGCGTAAAATGAAACGATAGACGTTTTTATATCGTCATCCGATATATATCGTTATATCGAACAGCCCTATTCAGCAGGATAATTTTCCACAAGTTGACACCACTGTTATGATTTTTGAAGCATAAATGCAATTGCAACAACTTAAAGTGCCAACACGGGGTGGAAGGGAACTAAACCACAGCTGCATGACCTGAATTTCACCACAACCACTAACCTCCTGTGTTCATTGTAATAACTTTAAAAGTCCTTGTCGTCTCATTTAGCCACTTCTCTGTGGGATATTTACTGGGGTGTTGTATATTTTAGAATAAAATCTGTGGAACTGTGACGTTAACCAGACATCTTATTTCAAGCATCTAACCAAAAACCTTTATAGATTTAGAGACGAAGGAACCTGATGTGCAACAATGCTGACTCGTGCAGACTTCAGCATTCAATCTGCAGCACTATACGAATGTTATTATAATATAATTGCTTTTTCAGTAGGGAAAAATGCAAGCGCTCTAATTTCAGCATTTATCGCTTCTAATTTTGTTCATTTTGTCCTGATTTTGATGCCACAGAGCCCAGTATTTGGTGGTAAGCACAGCCCAGAGCAGCGCTCTTTCAGGGACAGACAGAAGTACTTTGAGATCGACGTGAAGCAACAGACGCCAGAAAAACCCAAGCCTCGAGTCTCCCTCGTCGGGGAGGATGACCTCAAGAAGATGAGGGAGGAAGAAGGTTTGTTTCCTGAGTGTCCTTCTTAGCCACATGCAGCTAAGGAATGTGTTCAAATCAGTGGAGTGTGTTTACATGATAATCTGTTACCAGAGAGGAAGTTTGAGCAGCGAGCGCGGGAGTACTTACTGGATGATGACGACGAGGATGAGGATGAGGAGGACCTGGCCAAGCAGGTGGCACAGATGAAGGCCACCGGAAAGGTGTTGCTGGATGGAGTGGAGTACAAAGTGGAGCCGGTGTCCACCCCATCGCAGCACTGCTCCACACCGCCAAACTACAGCTCAGGGTGAGAAGCTGTGTTAGACGAATCTATTTTTCTTTACACTTTCTTCCGCACACTGAAGACTAATTGTTCGCTTTGCATGAAGGCCTTCTTCAGTAGATGGCAAGGGAGACTCTCAGAGGAATTCATTGGAGGACAGCTTCAGGCTGGAGCAGAGGCCCAACTCAATGACTGGGTAATTACAACACACAGGACAACATGTTTACCTGCTGTTAGCCACTGATCACACTCCTCGCGTCATCCTCCCAGTGCGGTGGTCAGTTTAAGCTGCAGAATTTTCAATTTCTCCCTCTGATGACTGAGTGGGTTCAGAGTTCAAAGCCTAGAAACCAAACTAACTGCACCCGTCTATCCCATCAGTCTCGTCCCAGCCTACCCCGGGGAGTCAGCAGCTCCCATCCGAACAGCCAAAGCAGAGCGCAGACACCAAGAGCGACTTCGTATGCAGAGCCCCGAGCTGGCCGTGGCACCTGACAAGGACCTGTCCCCTGCAGAGAAACGAGCCCTGGAAGCCGAGAAGAGAGCAATGTGGAGGGCAGCACGGTAATACAACCATGCCACACGTTAAGCAAGGATAAAAAAATAAGTAGAATGTAATGCTTTCAGGGCTAAACTTCGATTTGTGGATTTATTTCAGCAGTTTTTGAGTAACAGGAGACTTAACTTGGATGGTAACTTTGGAAGACGGCAGCATCCACACGCAAAGAAAAATGCGTACCGAAGGAAACCAAGGATCAGACCAGACCTTTATAGTTCTTTAGGGTTAGAGACACTTCTGTCCCACGTTTCCTGTTACAGTTTGTCAAGCTAGTAAATAAAAGGCTTCAAGAAGTTACTTTATGTCAAAGCAAACGTAAATTCTCGGTAGATTTAGTTTAGTGACTATCCTGCGTGTGTGGTCTGTCTCTGTCTCACTGTTACTGTGTCTAAAAATTGTCTTATTTATCATTTCTGGCTCTCCTACTTATATTGGTGTTTTACCTTCCATTCTTTGGTTTTCTTCTCTTTGTCTGTGTGCCTTTCTTCCTGTCCTCCACATTCCTCCGTCATCCTGGCGTACACTTTTTTTATTCCACTCCCTCCCTCTCTCTGTGACCTTGTGGGGCACAGGCCCTATGGCCTAGAGGAGGATGTTAGGCAGTATGAGCAGGACCTGGCTAAGAGGCTCTACCAGGCCCGAGTGAGGGCATCTCAGGGCACGGCCGCGGCACCCCAGCCCCCCACTTCCTCCTCTACCTCCTCCTCTGCAGCCTCCCAGCTCAGGTCTGCTCCTCGGCCCCGGCCGCCAGGGCCAGATGCACGGCATCGTGGGGTTGTGCTGGGGTGCTTTGATATTTGGGGTACTTTGCTAGAGGCCGAGTTCGGAAAGGTCCAAGCAAGCACTCGCAGCAACACTGACAGTGCTTCCGCTGCCTTTCCAGTGCCGTACTGCTTCTGCACGTCTCTGCTGTTTCCCATCTCCAGCTCCTTTTGGTTCCCGCCTCTCTTTTCTTTTCTCTGTCTTGTCTTCCACCCTCGTTCTGCAGAACTCTTCGTTTTCATTTGTGCCTTGCTGTTCTTTTTGTACAGTTACTAACACGCGATCCGCAGTAAGTACGCAAGCTTTCTGTGAGCTGAGGGAACGCCTACTAGCAGTAGGTGGTCCCTTTTCCTGGAGTGCATCCTTAATTTTTGCTTTGAAATTACATTTATTTTATTTATTTTTTCTTAATCCCTGCAAACCAGGACAAGGAACACCCCCAAAATAGCAGTGATTGGCCTGCACCCACCCGTAGTGGTGTGCATATGTGTGTGTGAGAGAGAGACAGTGTCAGTTTTTTGTCTCCCTATTTCTGTAAACGTTGGACTTTATTAAATGCCTTTGAATATTTGTTTGATTGCGGTCGTTCCTCCTGCAGAATGAAGTCTCTGGAGCAGGATGCACTGAAGGCTCAGATGGTCATCGCCAAGTCTCGGGACGGGAAGAAACGTGGGACACTAGATCAACTGACAGAGTCACCCTCGCCTGCACCAACACCCTCTCCCACTCCTATGGAGGGTAAGAAGCTGCTGCTAAAGGAAACTGTGTTTGTCTTTTCACCTAAAAAGCTCATTTTCCACCCGTTTTTTCTACCGGCTTAAGTACATTTCTTTGTCTGTTTGGCAGAGCTCAGTCCTCGAGGATTAACCTCGCCCGGCAGGCTGGTAAGACTTAATCCTGAATTTCAGTTTCTTATTGACTGATTTCATTGTTGTTTTTCCCCCACTTGCTAGTTTGTACTGACTTGGAGAGCTTGAGTCGTCATAATATTTAAAAAAAAAAAAAGCTGTAACACTTACTTTACAGTGTGATTTAATTGAATAAAGGAAACCGTCAGGCTCGTTTGTTCACAAGCTGGAGGAGGTACATTTGCATCAAAATACATTGACATGAATCCACCATCTTGCTCATTGCCACTCTATCCAATCAGAGCTGAAAACACACACACTGCTCTCCCATCAATGCCACAGCTGGCTGTTTAAATCACCCATTTGCCTCTCTGCCCTCCACTTTCCCTCTTCCATTTTATTCTGTCTTTTCCTCTTATTCCCTGACTTTTTCCCCTCTTCCGCTGTGTTTTCTCCTTTCTATACTTTGTCCCACTTCCTCCATTTTCCTCTCTTTTGTTTCCCTTATTTCCCCTCTTCTCCCTCTGCTCATTCCTGTTTGCTATCCTTCTAGTCCGTGTCAACAAAGAAGTTTGACTACCGACAGTTTGCTGCCATTCCTTCTTCCAAACCCGTATACGACATCCAGGTATTGGCTGCATGCCGATCTCCGGAGGCATCAAGCCTCCTCCTCCTCCCTCCCTCCCTTCCCTGGCTTTCCCGTGCTGCCTCTTCCGTCTAGTTTCTGTTAATCCGGAGGCCTCCCTGTGACTGCAGTCTAGGTTGTCGCTCAGTCATCGATCCGTGCTCTCTCTCCTATTCGTGGTGTGGCTCACTAACTCTCACCTGCACAATGAAGGCGGACTTTTAATCTAAATAACAGCACACCACATCAGCCTCCCTCCCTCCCTTCCTGCCTCACACCCGTGACTCACAAATGTAACAGCATCTTTAGCTGTATCCATTCACATCTATCTATCTATCTCGCAGCCAACTAATCGGTCGCAAACATTAACGCTCAGCAGCTGCTGGGATGCAGACAGGTCTTTGATCCCACTAACATGGGTGGAAAACTTTGCATCTTATTCACTCTCACACTCACTGCCATCAGTTGTCTTGTTCCACGCATGGGTTGAACATCATGCAGAAGAATGACATGTCCTTCTTGACATTTCCTCTCACCTGCGCTCATCTCATCTCATCCGCTGATCTTCTGTGCTCTCAAGAGGATAACGGTTCCGTTTGTATCTGTCTGTTTGGGGAAGAGTTAATTTCCTCCCGTGTGGAGGAAGAGAGGGGAGAAGCAGGGGAATCTTGGTGTAGAGGTGGAGCAGCAGCGCTTGTTTGCAAGTGGTCGTTTATTTCTGAGTCGAATATCCGTCGTCTGTGACACCGCTGTCTGGGATATTTATGGATATTACAATTTCGATTTTCAGTTTGTTTGTTTCCTGCACGGTCGTTTAAGCCTTCGGGGGTTTCCAAACCTATCTTCAATCTTCACAGAGAACAAATTATTCGCAGTTGTAGTTATTCCTTGACTTTATAGTGGCTGTGAACTGAACCCTCCACTGCAGTATATTATATATATATACTTAATATAAGGCAAATTCCAATTTTGAAGTGTCAGGCAATGATTTTTACCTTTTTTGAAACAAGATGTCACAGATGAGGGTTGGATCTGACAGGCCTTTGCTCCCCATGTGCTCAGACTTTGCTGCCCACGACCTTGCAGACTGGGAACACCCGACAATAGCTGCAGTTTTAGAGATCCTCTGACCCAGTCGGTTAGCCAGCAAATTTTGTCCTTTCAAACTCACTCAAATCCTTACATTTGCCCATCTTTCCTGCTTCTATATCATAATGTTATCTCTGATCAGTGTATACTGTCTTCGATCCCTGCAGACAAATTCAGTAGCTTTTAAAATGAAATTTACATGATGTCTACGTCGCAGCTGTATTTAAGTCAAGCGTGTTATCCGGCCCCTGAACAGAAGAACGCGTTGTACACTGATTGGTTGAGTCCCCCGCCTCCCAAAGTGGAGTGGAGATATAAAGGGAAGCCTTCACAGCTCGTATCATGGAATAACTCCAACCACAGCTAAGTCTGTGTTTGTGCATCATCTGAAAAACGTCTGAGCCTGTCATGTGTGTTGGCTTCAGTTGAGTGACACATTAAATTCTTTGTGTAGAGTGAATAAATAGATAAATCACTTCCAAGCATGATCAATTTAATTCAAATTAAGCAACAGATGACTCCTTACAGTTCTGCTTGTTTTTTTTCTTTGTTTTTCCCCCGTTGTGCATCGATGCATTAGTGCTGTTTCTCTGTTTGTCCTCTCTTTTGTGGGTGTGTCCACCTGACACAAGAAACCTCGACGCCAATGACTTAATCGACGCCCTCTTCTTTAACACGCCCGTTTCTCCTGGGGGGAGTAGTTGAGTAGATGTACTCTGGCTTTGTGGCTCTGACAGATTAGGAGCTTCAGTGCTGCCTGCTAAACTGCAGAGAGCAGCTGACATGTTTCCTGACAGTCTCCTACCTTGCCAGCCCCACTACTCACCTGGTGAAGGCTTCCCCTGGGCTACAGGCTATTAAACCCCAGAGTCAGTCCCTGTTAATAAGAGTCTCTTTTTATTTCTTTCAGTCCCCAGACACAACTGACACAGACTTAAAGTTCATCGATGACGGCTCCAGTAACCCAGGTACGTGGTGCTGATTGTTACGCCCTGAACTGTACCAGAAACCTCATTTATTTGTATGCATGGGCTTCTTCCTGTTTCTGACTTTCAAAATAAAAGTCTTTGACACAGAGTGCGACTACTGTAGTAGCGGGAATTCTTGCTGATAAACAATGAAAAAAAGAGCTTATGTCAAAAAATTTGGCAGATAACAAGATTTTAAAAAAGTCTTGTCTTTGGATTTACTTCTAAGAAGAAAACTAAAATTTTAGAAAATAACTTCAAATAAGTAAAAATATTGAGACAATAACTCCAAACTTTTACTTATGAAACACAAAATGATTGTTTTCAGTGTCAGAAACAAGCTGCCTAACCAGTGTATTGAGCCACAGTAAGAAATCAGCTGTAAGATAAAAGCAGACTTCTTTGAGGTATCAAGCAAAATATATAGTTTTATTTCTGTATAACAAAGATATTGATGTGACTAGGGATGGGTACCGGTGTCCGGTGCCATGATGGCACCGGTTCTGACATAAACGGTAGTAACCAGACCGAAAAGCAGCGCACATTTCGGTGCTTTTTTTCCTGAGCTGTGATACACTTTAGATTCTAGCCAATCATTTTACGTTTCCGAGGATAGTAGGCGGGGCCAGGTACGTACGTTCTTTTAGAGCAGAGCTACAGATTAAAAATGCCCAAGGCGAAGCGGTGAAAAGTCTGGCTGTACTTCACAGCAAAAGATGCAAACTCAGCAGCAACAAGTGCTTTAAGCTGATACTGTGATACTGTCAAAGGAGGTAACACCAAGATCCGATGAAACACCTGGCGACGCATAGCGTTTTTTTTAAAAGCCAGAAATGCGCCGTATTTGATAGCTTGCTGCGAGACCTCACACCGAGCACATCTACTGCGGGTGTGGTGCCTGTTATCGGACCCGGAGTTAGCAACATCCCCCAAAAACCCGAAGAGGAGAGTCCTGGCCCCTAGCCCTGCCAGTGTAGCAGAAATGATGACGGATGATGATGGCAGCAGCAGCCGTTCTTCTCTGCGTGAGTAGCTTAATGTTGTTCGTGTGTAATTTACGTTGAGTAGGCTAACCACGTTATTACATTAATGCATGTAAGGTGAACTAGCAAACATCATCATAGCTACATGCGGCTGTCTTCTTGTTTGATGGCAGATACTCCCTTCACCCTGGCAAAAAGGCTAAAATGACCAAAGAAAAAGTGGAGAAACAGTTAAACATGAGAGGTTTTTGGACAAAGTTTGTGTTTTTTCCATTGTTTAAGCACTGCTTCCAGCCAAGAGTGATGCCATATATGCCCCATAGCTGCAGAAAAGGCTAACATTGTTATCTTTTTACAAAAAAACAGCTGAACATGAGAGGTTTTTGGACAAAGTTTGTGTTCTCCATTCTTTAAGCACCGGTTTGAGCACCGTTTAAGCACCGGCACCGTTTCAAAAGTATCGGTTTGGCACCGGTATCGGATAAAACCTAAACGATACCCATCCCTAGATGTGACCGTAATATTCTGATGTCACATAATGATAGTACAGTCATTTTAATCCAACACCGCCAAGAAAACGTGGCAGGAAACTTCTCACATGTGTAGAACAAATAATGGTTTCTGGTACAGATGAAGTATACACTCCTGCTTTTATTTTATTTTATTTTTTGGTTTCACTTAAAAATCAAAATTAAAAAAAAGCTTCACAAACAGGTGAAGTGATAGGAAAAGGAAGTTGTACCTCAACCTCTTCTATCCCCTTTGATTCAGGTGCCTACCTGGGATAAGCGGCTCCTATTGGTAGGATCCTGTGTGCATGTGTTTGTCGCTCTGTGTGTGTGCGTGTGTGTGTGTGTGTGTGTGTGTGTGTGTATGCGAGGAGCGTTTGTCGGGGTGTGTGTCGGGTTGTACATTTACACTCTAACCTGCTGTTTGTGTGGCACAGTTGGGGGTTTGGGTATAAGATGGGTGTGTCCACCTGGGTTTGCTTTGCCATCTGCTCCCCATCAGACAGGAAGCAGCTACTGATTCAAAGGGACGTTTTATGTGTAAAGGATCAGTTTAACCACAGTCCTTTGATTTGTGCATGGATTTGTTTTAAATATAAAGACGTGCACCAGAGAAACCACATGTGTGCGCTAAAATCTAATCAGAAACTTATTCGCTTTATTTTGAAAGCATGATTTGCTTATTAAAACTGGGTAAGTACAGTTGTGGTCAGAAGTTTACGGTCATCATGGCCATGAGTGTCTTGGTAATTTAGGTTTATAATTATTTCCTTGAACTGTTTTTTGTTTTTGTTTTTCTGGGGTGGAATGATTGCATCTATCTTTAATTACTTTAAAAAACAAGAACCGGGTGCATAAGTTTGAATTTATTTAGCCTTTTTTCTAGTCCACACAGGGTGAAATGTATACATAGATATAATATAACCACTAATATTTGGTTAAATGTCCCTTATTTGACCACTCTTTGAATTGTTTGGTAAATTGGTTTGTTTCTGGCTTTAACCTGGCTTTAAAAGCAGGATTGCGGTCAGGTCTTTGGGTAGGCCAGTGGTGTCCAAACCCAGGCCTCGGGGGCTGGTGTCCTGCAGGTTTTAGATGTGTCCTTAATTCATCACAGCTGAGTTAAATGGCTAAATTACCTCCTCAACATGTCTTAAAGTTCTCCAGAGGCCTGGTAATGAAATACTCATTTGATTCAGGTGTGTAGACCCAGGGTGAGATCTAAAACCTGCAGGACACCGTCCCTCGAGGCCTGGAGTTGGCCGAGCCTGGGTTAGGCCGTTTCGAGAAATTTAATGTTAGCTGCCTTTATCCACTCCTAAATCAGTTGTGGATCGGGATCATTTTCCTGCTGGAACATCCAAGTTTTATCCTATTCCATCCACTTTGTGCAATGTACCAGTACCACCAGTAGCAAAACAGCCCCAGAGCATAATGCTACCACCACCATACTCGACGGCTGAAAGCTGCACATTTACTCCTCTTATTATTGTGGACAAATAGCTCAGTCTTTGTCTCGACTGGCCATCAAACTTTTCTCCAGAAGGCATTTGGTTTGTCCAAGAGGGCAACTCCAAATTTGAGTCGAGTTTGAATGTGTTGATTTTGGAGCAGGGCTTCATTCACAGTCGGCACCCACTCGGTCCATGGCGATTTAAAACCGGCTTCACTGTGGACACTGGTGCTGGTTTGGGTCTCCAGTGTTAGTATGTGTCAATCCAATGAGTGCTGTCAAAAGCTTTTTATTCTGCAAAGAGAGACTACCAGCAGCACTTAGTCATGATCACTAACTAGAAGTGACCCTGCCTTGTCAATTTAAAAGACTAATTGTTGGACCTATACGATCATTCCACCGTGCAAAAAAAGAAGTTCAAAGAAACCACCTGTGTGTACGTAAACATCTCACCACAACTGTGTTCATTGCTTTTATTCTCCTGCTCAGCTGGCTCAGCAAAGCTTTGGCCTACCTCTTTGCCCTGCAGATGCACACATGTAAAAACTCAGCTACATGATGGTTATGTGCTTCCTTTGTTTGTTTTTAATTTACATGATCAGCAGGACCAGTCACTATAGTAGAGAAGTGAAGGGATGTTTAAAACAAGGACTTGGCAGTGAAAACACTTAAGAAATACTGAAGTCATTGGTTTGAGTTTAGCACAGAAACTGGACGCATCTGTTTCCTGCTCGTTTCCAGCTGCTGCTCTAAATGTGGGGTGTCTCTCGCAGGGTCACGGGATTCACAGGGATCTTCTGTCCTGTCGCTCTGATCTTTTCTGCAGCAGATACTGTCACAAGAAAAGATGAGAAATTGCAGCAGCTCAAATGCATTTTCTCTCTCTTTTCTTTTTTCCCCCCTCCCAGGAACCGCCGCGAGCCCCGACGTCACCCCGCTGCCTGCCACCTCCGCCCTGGAGGAGATGGCTCTGTACAGCAACAAGCGCAAACTGAGGCAGGGCCGCCGCAGCCTGGAAACCGCTGTGCCCACATAACACCTCACCAACTGAAGAAAAACCCTGCAGACGTCACGCAAACATACACAACTTCACAAACACTGTGGAGCACTGGCCTCAGAGGGGCGTGCGTCCACAGGAGGTGCAGATTCACCAAACACTACACATGCTGTCAGTAGAGCGAGATTTACTCTGCCGTATGTAACCACTGTAAAGTCTGCGACGCTGATAGTTGCCACACAGACACTTAGAGCCCGCGTGCCAGTCTTGCCTTTCCAGTCTGAGGGCCAGTTGCTCGACGGCCCCTCAGCGGCAAGAAAGCGCTAGCGTTGTTAGCTAGGGTTGCTACTTATTTTTTTTATTTCTTTCCATTTAGCATTCAGTTTGCCTCGTAGAATCAGATCTATTTTAACTAGAGATCAAAGCTTTTAGGGGTTTTTTAAATTTTAATTTCTAAGCCTTCAGTGATTTTTGATGCTTTTAAACAAAACATACTGGAAGACAAACGCAGAAAAGAAATGGGTCATAGCTATACTAACTTCTTGAGAGACATTCATAGGCTTTCAGTGTTTTCTTCGGCCGACAGGAGTGTGTATGTGTGTATATATATACATACACACACATATATATATTAAACGAGTAGGGAACATCCTGCTACCTTCACTGTCACAAAATGTGGTGAGCTTTTTTTTTTTATTTTTAAAAAGAGTACATATCATTTTTGCACTGCCACTGGTCCGCCTTTTAAAGAACTTATTCCTTCACCCTATCCCGGCCTGGAGGCCAGCTGATAATGCGACTCGCCATCTGTTAATGAGTCACAAAATCACAGCTTTCAGCCCATTATTTGCATATCACTTCATTTTATGTTCGCTTTTAACTCATCAGTTTTGTTTGAGACAGCCATATTTACAAATTCAATTGCCTAAGTTGTTTCAAATCCACTTCACAGGGCCTTTAGCAATGTCACATTCCTCTGTAGAGAGTATGACTGACTACAATGGAGGAAGCAGCAAGGAGCAGGCAGTTTGGGAGCATGCATTTTGGCATCATTTTAATATTAATGGTACTTATCCTGCCCTGTTAAGGGTAATAGTTGTTTGTTTTTTTTAAATCAATGTGAATCACCACTTTCCCTGCGTTATGAGGTTTGCCACAGTGATGTGAAGGTAGCAGGTGTGTGTTTTTGTTGTTTTTATTTTTTTGTTGTTTGTTTTTTTTCTGTCTATGGTTAATTTAAATCTGACGCCACTGAAAATCATTTATCGTGTGAATAATGTACAAATACTGAGAGGAAAAGCAAAATTTGGGGTGTGAAACTGAGCCAGTCTTGGACCTACACTAAACACGTGGACTGCTGATGCATCTGGGTTCAGGCAGGCTTGGCGCTGGGATGCTCTCTGCATGTATATTGGTTTGCTAATGGGAGAGGCCTGAGAGGCAGAACCGGTTAGTCCCTCTCAAGACATTGATCTCACTCTGACTCTTCAGCTTACAGCTCGACACAGTGTCAGTGACGGGTATTTCTGCAGAATCACAGCATCGTAGCATTTTGTGTTAATTTAATGTAGTGTCTTCTAATTAAAGCTTTCCGTGTTGCTCTCACTGACTGAAATTCAGTTTGATAACATTCGCAACAGCTAATATCTTTAAAAAAAAATCTTTTAGTAGATAAAACTTTTTTTCCAGATGGGGTTCACTACATTTTTGATGCAGTGTTTCGAGTTTCTGTGTTTAATTCTTTTCGTCTTGAGTTCTCTTCGGGGGCTTTTACTTGCCAATAGGCTGGAGGGGAAAAGGGTCACATGTCCTAGGGTTGAGGGTTATAGCTCATACAAGACTGTAACTAGTGAATTTGTACAACCAAAGAAGTCTATTTTGTGGTTCAGGAATAATAAATTTTACTTTCCATGTAAAAAGCTGACTGACTCTGTCGTGTGTTGTGTGCTGGGTTAACATACAAGAAGAACAAAGAACAGGCAAGAGGCTGCAAGACACTAAAATGTGTAATGATGTTAGGAAAACATACGAGACATGAGCAGAACCATAAAGTAGAGGGCACGGCTTGTGAGAGATGATGGCCAAATTTTCAGCTTTATTTATATATCACCAAACTACAACAGCAGTGATATCAAGGTGCTTTATATTGTAAGGTAAAGACCTTGCAATAATCCAGAGAAAACCTTAAAAATCAAACGCTCCCCTATGACCAAACAATTGGTGATAACGTAAAGAAAAAACTCCCTTTTAACAGGAAGACACCTCTGGCAGAACCTGGCTCAGGGAGGGGCCATGACCAGCTGGGGTGATGGGAGGAAGACGGGATAAAGATGGCTGTGGCAGGCAGCCAGAGATTAATAATAACTAATGATAAAATCAGTGGTGTAGTTAGTGAAGAAGAAACGGTGCATGATGGGAAGTCCCCAGCACTCTAGACCTATTGCATCATAACTAAGGGACGATTTAGGGTCACCTGATCCAGCCCTAACTATATGCTTTATCTGAAAGGAAAGTCTTGAGTCTAATCTTAAAAGTGGAGGGTGTCTGACTCCCTAATCCGAACTGGGAGCTGGGCCCACAGAAGAAGGGACTGAAAGCTCACCGTCCCATTCTACTATTAAAAACTCTACGAACTACAAGTAAACCAGCAGCCTGAGAGCGAAGTGCTCTGCTGGGGTGATACGGGACTATAAGGCCTATAAGATGAGATGGGGCCTGATTATTTAACACCTTGTATGTGATTAGAGGGATTTTACATTTACTTTGGGATTTAACAGGGAGCTGATGAAGAGAAGCCAGATTGGGAGAAATACGGTAAGTGTGCTTATTTGCACAGAACTGGCAGATGGATGCTGCCTGCCGAACAGTCTTGTGAAAGCTTGCAAAGAGTGTGGTAATGTTAATGGGTTCATATCACTAACTATATGAAAAAAATGACTAAAGGCTGCAAGTTTAGCTCGCCCAGTTGAGGTGACCATTCACCACATGGCTCAATGCAGAGACCAGGTGTCAAGTCTGACTACGGGCCCTTTGCTGTGTCTCTCTTCCTGCAAATGCTTTTTTTGTGTGTCTATTTGTCACTATTCTGTCTAAAGATGGACATGTGTATAATTGGATAAGAATCTGGCTGTCAGATGGATGCAGATCCAGAGTTCAGGTCTCTGGAGAAGACATCAGAGTCTAGCTCCACTTTACTCAGGTTTATCATTTGGCTAGCTTACATGAACAGATCATATCAAGTTAAATATCAATTTTCATGTTATTTGAAAACATAAATGCCTGGTTGAGCCTCCTGTGGTGGGTTAAAGGGAAGAACAAATTCCCCAGTGGTGAAATCTCTCTCAAATCAGTATTGCAAGAAAAAGAATCATTCATTGTTGCTTTATTAATGTTTCATTATACAAGAAGCTGATTTTTTTTTAATCTTTTAGCATTTTTAATGTAATTTGAATTTTAGTTTCCAGTCCTGACTCTTCAGTTTTTATTGTAATCCAGCTGTGACTGTAACAACGCATTTAAGTGCATTTTTCTGTGTTTGATATAAAGTTGCTATCACTTTTTGCTTCACTTCCCATCCTGTTAGTCCTAGTTTTGCACATGAAAAATGTTAAATACAAGTAATTCAATAATTATAATTTTCAGTTGTTCTGTGGGAGAGGTTAGCTTTTTGATTATTTGCAGGAATAATCAACCATGGTACGAGTTTTCTTATTAAAGTGCGCCCTCCTCTTACTTCAGGTGCCAAACCAAAGCAGTGAAAATGCTGTTGAGCAAGTAGGTGGACTAAAATTTCAGAAAGCAAACTAATGATTAATATACGTCGGAGTTTTGTGGGAGAAAAATATGTTAACGTACAAGAGACTGAAGATTAATCAGCTGCAGAAAAAGATACAGAAGACAACCAGCTGTCAAAATAAAACAGGAAAGCAGTTTGACTAACAAACTCAAACTTCACATAGAAAGTGTCACGAGGCTTCCCTCGTGACACTTTCTATGGCGAGGAAAGTTGAGACTTTAACTTACAAGTGAAACCATAAATTCAAATTCCTCTTAGTGGGACTGCAAAGCCGACATCGTGCACACAGGAGGCTGACTTGTTTTTAAGATGAGGGGACTCACACTGCTTATGGTGGGAATTATTCTGGCTGCACTGACGGATCTGCCTTTGACAGACTTTTCATTTGCAGAGGTAAGAAAAAAAAGTACTAAATGCCACCGTTCTGTAAGGTAGTGCAAATACAATCATTTTTATATCATTGCAAAATCAATTATGCTCATTCAAAGTTTTTTAAATGTCTATTAAGATAAATATTAATTAATTAAGTATTGTTGCTCAATACTGCAAACAAATACACAGCTAACTAATGCATTTAATCACTCCTGCAAGCTTAATAATGAAAATATATAAATAATTAAACAAATGTGTAATCGCTGCTTGGTTTTGGGTCTGAATATTTTCTAAATAATATGTTTTTAGATCTAAATATTTTCTGCTTTTTAGATGATAAATGTGTGCTTGATCACATTACGTCAGTTAAGTGACAGAAATCGATTTTTTTAAGGCTCATTCTGTTAAGCATTGAAATGTTTAAGACAAAAAAAGTCCTTTACATGATCTGCCAAATGGAAGTGAACACGTTATAACTAAAGCTGCTTTAAATATATATTTTTTAGGCTGGATATTTATCTATGAGGCCAATGGAAGGTACAAACGGGACGTCCAACTCAACAGAGGTGTGTGAACTTTGAGTGTTTCATGTTTTAATCTGTTTAGGTGAAACTTAAAATCAAATTAATTTTGACAAATATAAGCAGTGCTGCTCAAATATGAGCAATATAATTATTCTCAGTAAAAATGTCTTTGTTACGGGATTTTTTTTTATTATATAATCATAGTTTTCAATTGTAAAGTGTGCTAATTGCTGCTATTTCTAAGGGACGGGTTAGGTTTTGATTATTTTTCTGTTTTATTTGAAGTCCAAAGTCAACGACCTTGCAGGAATAAACAAACACATGATTACAAGCATTGGAACCTGTTTCCTCATTAAAGTTCAAATGTGCTCTTATTTTAGCCACAAGAGGAAACCACAGAAAATAATGTTGTTGTGCAGGTAGGTTTCATAAAGCAAAGTAAGGACTGACACGTGAAAAGTGTTGAAATGCAAGAGGATGAAGATGCATTTATCATCTTACTCACATTAACCTAAAGTTTGGCTGACTTCCTTTTTAATCCCATCAGTGGAACGGCACCATTAGGCCAGTGGAAAGTGATTTTGGGTTCCCTCCTATAGAGCCCCTCGAACAGAGCCCCCAGAAGGACACCAAAGTAAGAAACTGCAGCAAAATAAAGAGCTTTAAATACTGCTGACATCCGCTGCTGTTAGAGTAACATGGAAATGAATCTGAAAACCAGCCATTAAACCCAAGAACAACAACTTATTCTCATTGTGTGTATTCATAGGTGTGCTTGAATTTCATATTAAATATAATTTATATGATCCTTTCCAGGGAAACACACAAAAGTGAACACACACAGCAGATGGTTCAACTCAACAGAGCAAACACATCTGAAGTCCTGAAGGAGAAATACTGCCAACATGAAGTAGCCCGTGCCATTTATTCATTCTGCTGCTGCTTATTTTAATTGTGAATTCAAAAAAAAATAAAAATAAAAATACAGTATGAAAATTTTGTTTTTTTTCTAATGTGGTTGATGTGAGTGGTATAGTGGTTAGCACTGTGGCCTCACAGGAAGAAGGTCCTGGGTTTGAACCTGCTGACTGGCCACAGCTGTTCTGTGTATGTGTGGATGCTCGGGTTTCCCCACAAAGACATGCAGGTGTGAATATGAGCATGTGTGGTCATCTATCACTGTGTCGCAACTAATATGTGCTGCAATGAACTAAATGTAACAAATCTTTACTGATGGTCCAATAATAAAGCAACATAAATCCAGAGGCAGGAGTAACACACTGGGAGTAAAACAAAGCTACTCTTTTTTTCTTGTCAGTAGAACCACGAGGTTTTCACTTTTCCCAGTTATCTACATCTCTGACTTTAGCTAATTAGCTAGCTGGCAGTCACAGCTGTGTAAAACCCTGAGAGAAGCAGACAGCTAACTATAGTATTTATGAAAACTGGTCCAGACACTGGGGGGCAAAATTGGTGGTATAATAACGACAAATAACTTTAATATTAACTAAAATGGGAAGCTTAAGTCATGTTAAACTTTGAAAAACTTTATTTTATTTAGTCTTTTGAAAAACATTATTTTAATTAAAAAACAAACAAACAAAAGCTTTAATGTTTACCACAGAAATGTGAAGGCAGTTTCTCCAGCTCCAAAATCCAAATGAAGCCTTTTTATTTTTGTTCCTGTTAAACAAGAGTTTTTCCCAATGTCGCCAAAGCACTTGCTCATAGGGGGTCGTGTAATTGTTGGGGTTTTCTCTGTTGTATTGTTGTAGGGACTACCTTACAATATAAAATGCCCTGAGGTGACTGTTATTGTGATTTGGTGCTGTATAAATAAACTAAATTGACTTTACTTTGAACAACAACAACTGACAATCTAAAGACGTTCACACAGAGCAGTTTCTTTTGTGTTTTTCCTTGTCATTGTCCTTTACAGTAAATCTTAACTTCTTAGTGTGAGCAGTTGCTGCTTTTCTTTTTGAAATATGACAGAAAACCAAACAACTTGGTGTTTTATTGGTTTAAGACACAACCATGAAAATGTGGAACCAAAAAAATCACAGTACTGCTTTACATTACCAATACCTGCTTACACTCTGCATACACTACTACGTACTATGAATACAAGACAATGTACTGTTTTCAAACAAAGGAAATGTCTTTAGGTAAACTTCTGTGAGTTATAGTAATTATCTATATCTATATATATATCTATATAGATATATATATATAGATATATATGTGTATATAATATTTACAGAAACTTAAACTTAAAAAAGTCATTATTGGAGGGGACGCCTATGAGAGCAACCAGCCTCACCAAATTAACATCTGCCCTGTTGTTGAGAATAAAACAGACTTTGGGCAGGTAAGCAAACAAATCTGAACAAATTTGAACTTTGATGTTAAACAAGAGCAGAAGTAAAACAGCCTCCACCTACAAAAACATGCATCATAAAACAGGCGTAAGCGCTCACTGGAAGCTGATTACAAAATGAGAGGACTCACACTGCTCTGTTTGGTGGGACTTATTCTCACAGCTTCGGTAAGAAAATATATCACTGTTTGATGTTCACAGATATGTTGAAAGCTTATAACAAATGACAGTCTACATAAATATTTATTTAGACATATTTATCACCACGAATCAGATGAAGTGTGTCTCATGCTGCTGCTGACTCACTGAGATTAACTGTATCATTATTTTGCTGTGTTGTTTGATTTGAAATGATCTTCAAACATAGAGTGAAAAACATTATTTTAAAAAAGAGGCAGAAATTAAAACCTCCAGTGCTGCGTTTTGGCTTCATATTGTAGGATTTTATGAAAGTGTTCTGAAAGTTTTATCCATTCTAATTTCAGCTGCATGAAGGAAGCACAGCACCAGCAGAGAATACTGTAAGTCAAAATAAATACATAAAAAAAAGAAGAATTACTGATTATATATTAAATTTTGAGCTTTATATGTTATTATTAATGTCACACACTTTCATTTCACGTCCATAATGAAAGCAACTCAAAAAAGCCTCCAAAAAAGCCACCGGTACGGTAAAAATTAAATAAAATCTTAAAAAAAACTACCAAACTATATTCAACTTTCACAACAAAGACTTAATATTTTTCCCTATTAAAGAGGTCAATCTGGACTTTATTAACTAACATATAAGTGAGACATAATTCTTATCATCATGAGATTTTTGTTTTTTTTAATTGAAAAAAAAAAAAACCCCAACAATAAATATCAGCTGCCCCACGTGTGTGGAATTATATCTGTGACCCCTTTTACAGATATAATCTTTGCCCCGGGCCTTGAAATACCAAGAAAATAAACAGATCTATGACTTGCTTCAGAGTTGATCATCTATTACTGAGTAAAATTAGACTAATATTCATTTTTAATATTTTGTAATATTTATATTTAAGATCATTCAATCTATCATCCGCATCAACGAGTACTTTGTGTCGCCAAATATCTACACAAATTGTGTGAATTCTGTTTTATGTTGACTCCTAAAAGCATTTTTACTAACACAACAAGCTCAAACTGCTTATTTCAATTTTATGCTACAGTGACACAGATGTGCTGTATATTAGTGTAACCTTAGAACTTGACTTAGAATTTCTTTGTCTTTACTTAATTATTTATATGCATATTTCATGTATAAATGTATATTATTGTAGATTACATCTTATTTCAATGTTGATAGCAAACTGAGTTGTGCTATGGGTGCTGGGGTCCCCTTGAAGGTACACGTGATGAAACTGAATCAGCCGGGGGAAATGACACACAGGTAAAAAACCATCGACAACACTTTACACATCTATAATTTGTCATAATTTCACGTAAAAGAAAATTATCAAAGTGCCTTGAAAAATTGTATTTTAAAACAAATGTCTTAAAAAAAAGATAGAAACCTGTCCATAGGTGTGATTTTGTTAAGTGAAATCATTAGATTTTTTCCCTCTGTGTAATTTACAGACCGTTCATCAGAACATTTCAGTGGAAGCAACAGTGGACGACCGTGATTCTGCTCATGTTACTGTCTTACCTAAATAATCATTAAAAGTCTGTTGTGAGAAAAGTTTCCTTTATTTGTTAAGTGTCTCTTATTTGTTGTTATGTGCTTTTTCCAAGGTCATTTAGAAATGTAGAGCTGGAACTTTTGACAAATTATCTGCCAGACACACAAAAAAACACCTACTCAGACAAAATGAGACAACACAGGAATTAATTATCGAGGGGAGACACAAATGAAGACAAAAAGAACATTTTCTTTAAAGAGACGGTAAATTTACAAAACTAACTTCATCACATTTTACTAACACAAAGGCAGTGGCTGCTTATTTCAGGCCTGTTATAACAAATGCACGTGAGCTGACGTGTGCCATCGTTGCTATGAACTCCTAACTGTATTTAATGATCATACTTTGTCCTGCTGCTTTTTTAATAAACAAATAAAAACAGTTCCTGATAAACTAACTCGACATCCTGTTACGGGCATTTTTCTTAATAATTAACATTGAGAAAAATTACAAATAAAATAAGCTTTTTCTTTTAAATATGGCATTTTACGAAAGAGAGAACAGCGGATTCATAAGTATGTGGAAGAGTCTGAATTACATTAATAACAAATTCAGTTTTGAAGAGAATAAAGCAGACTTTTTTTTTTCATTTGCTAACAAACAAAGTTGAACTTTGATGTTAAACAAGAGTTGAAGTCAAAGAGGCTTCACCTACAAACACTTGGATTATAAAACAGTTTGAAGTGCAGACAGGAGGCCGATCACATCCGAGGTGAGACGACTCGCACTGTGCTGTTTGGTGGGATTTACTCTCACAGCTTCAGTTAAACAAAACAAAACATCATACTGGCAAATTAGCCAAATTTTTAAAACCTTTTCTGCTGGTTTCAATAAAACTTCTATCATACAAAGTGTGAATATGTGTAATGAGTGTAGGGAAATTTTAGCTTCACAGATCAAATACTATAGCTTGAAATTTTCACTGGTCTTATCAGGATCTTTCATTTGGGACAGATACATTAAAACTAGTGAACTAGTTTACTAGTTAATTCTTAACTAGTTTTTGGCTTGTTAAGTCCAGCAAGTCCTACAAACTCCCATTTTTGAGCAAACATTAATAAAAAAACTGTCATTTATTGTCTTTTTAAATTTCTTAATGGTTTCTGGTTGAATTTTACAACTGCAAAACAAATAGTCATAAAAAGTAAGAAAACACCAAATTCATTCAACTTTCATGTTGGATTGATCAAATTTGAGCCGTTGCACCACAAAACAAAAACATCAGTATAAAGTTTAATCCGATGGTACTCTAATATGTGAAGCTAAAATCTTCCAGCAATCATTATATATGTATTTATTTCTTCGCGGTTTCATTGTAGGACTGTTGTTTAACTACCAGATAAACGAGATTTAAACTTAGGCTTGATATAAATGTATTTTTCTACCATAAATCAGCTGGAGTGTTTCTCACACACTGTTGTTAAAAAACAAAAAACCCAGCACTGAACTTGAATTTGTATATCTTTATTACATTTGAGGGTTAGCACCTAAGTACTGCATCTAAAACGAGCAAATTCAACAAAATAGAGTAACTTTGACTGTATCTGTGTAAAGTAACCAGTTCTTGAAACATTATGATCTATAACATCCACAGGTTTCCACTTTCCACTTTTCTCTATGTAAATGTGATTAAAATGTATCATTTGACAGGGATTAGGCAGTTTTACATAAGTCAAGTACTAATGAAACAGATGTACAGAAAGGTTATAGCAGTGAGGTCAAACTCGTTTCACACTGACGGCCACGGACAGTCCACTATGACTTGAGTGGGCCAGACGAGTGAAACTCCACTTTCTGTCCGTGTAAAGGTGTCGTATTAGATATCGTAAAATAAGATAAAGATCTGCAAGTTCAACACCACATCTCAGTGTTTCTATGATAAATGTGTAAAATTACAGTTGTGGTGCAGCTCACTGCCCAGAGTGTCTGATGTTTGTACAACATAGAGTTTCATGGATGAAAATTT